GTTTTAGTGGGTAGTACTGGCTTCTCTAGCCAGTGAGTCACATCACCTGCATGTATGCAGATGGCATGCATAAATGCATTTCCCACCATTAAAGAAAAAAGATAACGCTAATAGAAAACGAAATATGTATATATTTAATATGTAATTATTAATCTTGAAATTTATATGAAGCCATTCTTGAGGTTTCACTATCTATACTTATTATAAAAATAAGTCCCCCGGCCGCGTCTTTCTGTCCTCCTGTCTGTCTGTACGCGATAAACTCGAAAACTACTGAACGGATTTTTATACGGTTTTCAACAATAGAAAGAGTAATTCTTGAGGAAGGTTTAGGTATATAATTTATTATGCTTTTATGTAAATTAGCTGAAATACGGCGACAAATGTTGAAGAGGTCGCAAAAAATCTCGCCAAATGGGAACTTTCCACGCGAACGCCGCGTAAACTAGCAAAGATACAGTTAAGTAATGTACTAGAGAATTCAAAATCTATAAAAATGCTACAAAAAAGTCCGCGATAGCATATCTCTATCTCTTACGGTTGACTTACAATAACCACTTTTATGTTAACATTTTTAATTAAAAACATTACGTTATTTTCAAAGTTATTTTCTTTAGTTCGGTATTAATCCTTATCCAAATGAATATTTTAGTTAGCTTAGTCATTTAATGCAGATTAAAATTGCTCTTTACACTAAATCAATCAGATGAATAGTTTTTGAGATATCGTTGTTAGAAGTAATTAGTAGCGAAACATTTTTAATGCTTGGCGAGCATTGAGATGCCTACGGCGAGTCCATCCCCTCTGCCCCGCATCGCTCGACCGCCTGCTCAAGCTATATAAACCGGGCGATGTAGCGCGCGATCCTAGGATACTTTTTACCGCGGGAAAATATCTTATTTCTGAGGAAAAATACAAAAACTGCAATGTAAGAGTATACTAATATGTAACACCTAAGAATTTAGTTTTTGGTCATCTGAACGCGGGCGGAGCCGCGGGCAATGCTAGTATTCTACTAAAAATTAGCGGCTTAACCTCGCTTCGCTCGGGTTCTCCAAATCTACCTCACGGGAACCGTACATTTTTCCGGAATAAAAAGTGGCCTATGTGTTAATCTGATGTATGAGCTACATATATTATTGTAAAATTTCATTAAAATCCAATCAGTACTTTTTGCGTGAAAGTGTTAAAAACATAGTACATATATACCCCGACATACTCACAAATTTTCGAATTTATAACATTAGTAGGATAATGAAAATAATTTCATAGTTATATATAAAAGTTCAATTCAGTTATTGTAAGATCCTGCAATATGTATAATAAGCAATCATGACATCGACTTATTCAATAATGGGTTCAAAAAATTCGCTCACCTATTAAAAAAAACATAAATTGTGTTAATGTTTAATCATGGACGAGTGGTTAATTCGTTCATGTGTTTAATATTCTTGCTTTTTGTTCGATTTATTCCTGTCAATTTTAAGTTCACTTCGTTTTAGTGGAAACTTTATTGGATCAAGATTTTTGTTCAGAAGTGTTTAACATAATTTTATTAACTATACGCTGTATGTTTCCCAATGATAAATAAATAAATAAAATAAAAAAAAATAAAAAAAAATAATAGTTGGTAAAGACATTGCGTTAATACACATGTAGGCAAATGCACAGATCGATACAAATGATAATTTTGAACCTTTCTAGCGTAGAACCCAATTAGAATAAGAAATCAGTCAAATTAATAGCAATAGTTTTTAAATACCTCCATTCAATAATGCTATTATAATAATTATATTATAAAATACTTACGAAATATTGATAAAAGTAATGTAAAATATTGATTTACGTATTCACAATCAATAAAAATTCAAGGCAATGCGCGAGATGATAAACAAACTAAGTCACCTTTCCAATATACTATATGACACGACAATAAGGCCTAAATATTATAATATATCGTTCACTGGTAGCCGATATCAGTAAAAACATTAACTCGTATCAACACTTTTCCTTTGCACACCGATATAGAAATACGGCGCCGGAGTAAACATGCGGTCCCCTCATCCAATCATACTAAATGATCCACGTCCATCTGTATATTTAATGTTCTTTTTTTTATTTATTTAAAACTGAATCTACAAAAATTGGTATTCTTGTATAAAATGAGGGCTGTAATAATGAAATGAGATGCAAATATTTTCAACTTATTTTTCTACATTACTCACTTATTACTTATTCAATTCAAATTTCTTTTATTCTTATTATCAATTTGAAAAACCTATTGCTATCACCAAGTGACGTCGGGTAAATGGCTTGTTCAGAGTAATTATAAACAGGGTCAAAGGGCGTAGGTTAGTGCAATCATAGTCAGATATCGAGACAGCCAAGACAAATATGCAGTGACAAATTATTTAATAAATATATACCTTGTAAATTTGTTTGTTTTCTTAAAGTATTTGTTGCTAATTGTCTTCATTATTATTTCTAATATTTCTACATTGTATAAAACAATTGTACTTAAGTTATTCTTGTATCTATAGGACTATAGTTCAATGATAACATTTAAAAAATATATCATAAATACTTTTTTAGCTACTTTAACTGAGAATTATTATAGTATTCAAACTGTGTACTAACTACAAAACAAATATAAATTTACTAAACTATGTATATGTGAGATTCCTGTTTAAAAAGTAGATTCTGTTATGTGCAGTACATGCAGCCAAGAAATAGAAATAATTTAGATTTTTTTAAATATATATTAAAACATGAATTATATTTACTTTTGTAATTTATTCTTTATTAAACACTGGCAACTTAATCAATTAGCAAGGTGCCTATCAGTGGACTATGTTGTTACTCCAGGTCAAAGTCTATATTGAGTCTACTAAATTTCCTCCAAATTGATTGTTAGTGCCTGTCAAAAAACCTGTGCCTACCTACTAGAAACAAACTCACCACTTTCAGTATTTTATTATTTATATATACATATTACCACATTAGAAAGGAGCAGAACATATGTGTATATATAGTAGAGATGGGCCGACTATGAGTTTTGCCGACTAGCCGACTAGTTGGTTGGAAAAAGGCCGACTAATTGGCCGACTAGTCAGCTTAGCCGATCATTGCTTTTCGCGATGTTTGTCGCGTTTCGCATCCCGTACACGCGTCGCGCGTAGGGACATATATGTATGAAAGATTTTGGTTTATTGTGAATTTTGTTATTTGTGATTTTATTTTTGAAAAATAAAACAGTCAGTGAATAATATAGCTAAGACAGTTTGTATTAAAGTGATGATGTTCTCCTAGCCGATTCCGGCCACGACGGCCAATCTCAATGAGATTAGCCAACTGCGCAGGAGATATTATAGTGCTCAAGTGTACGCGCAGACACAAGTGCACTCTCTATTCCTATCACTCTCATACTCCGGTGGGACGACCACTCGACACGACCGGTGAGAGTTAAGGCGCAGGATCGACGGCTTTACGTGCTCTCCGAGGCACGGGGGTGAAACACCGCCAACTTCCCAACTCCGGGCTGTTACTGAGACTTACTATATAGGAAGACTCAATAACTAAACTTGGACCGACCCGGGACTCGAACCCAGGACCTCCGGGTGTGCAGCCGTACATGCTAGCCACTACACCACCGAGGCAGTTTAGTATTAAAGTAAAAGTAGGGTGTACCTACATAACAGAAATTAAGTCATGTCATACTTTCTTAGATTCACGCGAATATTTGACATCTATACATATAAATAAAATTAAAGTATCTGTTTGTAATGTCAACATAACAGTTTTCTACTATTAAATGCGTATGAAATACAGTACCCACAAAATTACAAAATGAAATTTAATGAAAGAATGTTTTTCATTAATAATAATCCCGCTATTTTAAAAATAGTAATACAAATAATGGGCCGACCAGTCGGTACTTCTGGCCGACTAGTCGCCGACTAGAAATATGGCCGCATAATCGGCTTTCACGACTAGTCGGTACATCTCTAGTATATAGTAGAGTATTATTGTAATTTATAAGATTTTAGTAGAGTAAGTGACTCAAAATTCCAATAAATAAAAAAGAATAAATTTAATTTCATATAAACAAATAAGAAACTAATATTCTAATCTCACATATTTTTTTTTATTTTAATGATAAAATTATCAAATATGTGTTAGGTAGTGCTTATTATGTGGCAAATATATAAACATCATTAGTCTTACATAAACTAATGACACAGAGTAAAGGTCAGTTAAATATTGAGTAATAGATTTGTAAATCTAACATTTATTGCTTTAAAAATATATAATAATAGTTTTTTTAGTTAAAATCAACAATATAATACAAACCTATGAGTAACATTTAAAATATCAATTTAATAAATATAATATATTTAAAAAAATAAGTGTTAGTTTTACATATTTCATTTGACTGAACCATTTGATAAGTAAAATATTGGATTGTGATATGCTCTAATTATTCTTTTCCAATTGTAATTTTCTAAAGAGGTTTCAAGTAGCTCCTCTTTTAGATACTAAATTATCTACTACCACTACAAACAAAAATATTTATCAATACATGAATTATAACAGGTATAATCATATCAATTAAAATAATTATCAAATTAGAAGCAATACATACAAATTGATATGATATATAAGTACAAAACTGGGAAACTTTTTTATCTTATTATTCACTGACTTTATAATTTTTGAATAATTACCTAAATATAATTAAATTTGAGAAAAAGAATAAAATAGTCAAGTAACAATTGTAATGGAAATTTAATTAAAACGTTTCCTATTTAAATATAAATAATATGACTGAAATATGATATTTAATTACAAATTTAAATTTATCTTAGCTGCATTCAGAATTCAGAAATTGTTAACTTTATTGTTTTTAGTAATAAGCTATCGATAAATATTATTATTATTATTTGTAAGATTTATTTAAAACATATTTAATAAGAGATAAATTAATACTAATAAAAACTTACTCGATACGCCGCTAACCAAACTCCGATACACACAGAAAACTCTTATTTACTGTAAATTTACAAAAAAGAATTCATAAAAAATACAATACTACTCAACAAGGTTCTACAGTTCACTTTATACTAGAGTGAGAGTCGTCTACAAATAAATAAAACCGCGATAAACATTTAATATTGACAATTAACTCAAAATAGACATTTTGACGTCTGCGAATTGCGATCCTTGGGCTTGACAAATGTGAAATTACTTATGAATTGACACATGACATTTGACAATATTATCCAATGTTACCAGCCGTAGCTCCCGTATTCATAAAAACTTGAAGCATTAGCATTACACTTTAACAAAAGAATGCGGGCACTGTTCTAGTCACAATTCCACGATCATTACTTGTAAAGTACCTAATTATTAAGTGAACATCTGTATGATTATTTATATATTTAAATACCTGGTGAGTGTGACACAATGGCTGCAGGTGACATCATAATTATCAGTGTGTAATCACTGTACTATGTATGCATATCATGTAGAATGTAACACCGTCAACTTTTAGAATCGCCGTATTTTAGGAATGTTGATAGTTAGGAAAAAAGAATTACGACCATTTTTGTAGATAATTTTATGATCTACAATTTTTGTATGAGCTATATTTCTGATAAAACTTACCGTTTCGAGAAAAATCCAAAAAACCAAAAATGTTGAAATTTGGCCTAGAATAACTTTTTTAGCACACATGGGATCGATGGGGACTTTTGACACTTTATTTCTAATGGTGTATCCAAGATCTCTACCAAAATTCAGCTCTGTGGGAGTTTTGTTATTGGAAATGTCTATTTTGTCGGACTATAAGGAACAAATACGTTGTTTCTTGTTTCATTTATGGGCAATGCGCATCCTCAAGAAAATGAATGAAAATGGAATGTTACTGAAAAATGATAATGTATTAAAATATACATTGATATCCTATTCCTTAAGCTGCAACTTTTACATATATGTTATAAAAGTAAATCTTAAAGTAAAAGTAATTCATAACTTCAAAAATCTATTTTTCTAGATGACATTTATTTAATTTAATTATAGCATCCTTGCCACTATTCCACGCGGACATAACTTGTACAGTAATAACTAAGTCTACATTTGTTTTGTATATATAATCGAGTATATTTGTAATTTTCTTTATTTTTAAGAAATAAAAAAAAATATTAAACAAAATAATAATTTCTAGATAAGTATTGGTACATTTTATATAATTTTATTCTAATAATGTGCACGAATAAATAGGTCTGAAGAACTATTACTGTTAAATAACTACTGTTTTTGTTAGTTCCAAAATCACTAAGGAAAGGCTCATATAATACATATCGGCAACCTGTTCGCAAAAAAAAAGTTATTTTTGATGTGGAACATCTGTTGGTGCGCCTTGGCAGTACAACCGTGTGACGGCAAACAGTGACGTGACGGTGTCATGTTATCATACCTCTTCTATGATACCGCTCTCTACTCCCTTGGACGTGTGCGCGCGTATACTATACACGCTCCATTGTAAAACAGTCTCTATTAAAAATACTTACATAATATTTTCTATTCTATTTATTAATATATATATATATATATATATATATATATATATATATATATATATATATATATATATATATATATCATAGGCCTTGTTCCATCTACAAAAGATGATTTTATGTAGCATCCGGTAGTTTGCATTTCCGCTCATGGCTGAACAGACCGATACGGGAGTTACAGCTACGATTACAATTGTTGCAGACGTATTGATTTTGCTGCGACGAAGAGGGTTGATGGAGTTGGTTGGTCTCACGCTGGTGTCTGCACGCGCGTTTACGGGCTAACTCATTGAGCCAGACGTGGTCGTGCAACTTTACGCCGTCCCCACATAATTTTCTCCAACGGGCACGGTCCTCTGCAGCTTCTTCCCAGTTGGCTACTCCTATGTTGAAGCTGGACATATCGCGCTTAACGCTGTCCTTGAACCTCAATAAGGGACGACCGACTGGTCGCTTGGCGTTTGCTATTTCACCGAGGAGGACCTGTCTTGGCAAACGAGAAGGTTTCATTCGATGCAAGTGCCCTAGCCAGCGCAATCTTCTCTGTTTGAGAAGACCTGTTACACTAGGCAGTTGTGCAGTCTTCAACACTTCTTCATTTGTCACTCGATCTTTCCATGAGATGCCCAACATGCTACGAAGACAGCGCATGTGAAAAGCATTTAATCGCCTCTCCTGTCGAGTATACGATGTCCACGTCTCAGCTCCGTACAGGAGAATACTCAATATGCATGCTTGATATACGGTCATCTTGGTCTTGATTGTTATGTGTTTGTTGTTCCACACTCTTGAACAAAGCTTTCCGAACATCGTATCCGCCCTGCCAATTCGCACGTCGATCTCTCCGTCGAGAGAAAGATTACTAGATACGGTCGACCCAAGATAACAAAAGCTCTCAACGACTTCCAAAGGTATACCGTCCAGCAAAATCACTGGTTTCTCCATGCAGCCTTGCGCTAATATAACGGTCTTTTTAGCGTTTATGGACATGTTAAACAATGCACATGCTTTCGAAAATTTATTCACTATGTCCTGGAGTTCACCTGTAGTGGTAGCGACAAAAGCAGCGTCGTCAGCAAATAAAAGGGAATCAACAAACTGGCCCTTGCGATGGCGTTTGGACTTTAAGAGAGATATATTATATAGTTTACCATCTTCTCTCGTATGAATGTGGATACCCTGTCTGGTTTCGCCAAAAGCGACTCTTAAAAGAAGCGAAAAGAATATGCCAAAGAGTGTAGGTGCCAAGACACAGCCCTGTCGCACTCCTCTCTTCATGTCGAATGGTTCGGACGTATCCCCATTGTAGACAACTGAGCCTTTCATGTTGTGGTGAAACGACTTTATGAGAGATAGAAGTTTTGGCGGACATCCTATTTTCTCCAACATTGAATAAAGACCTTCTCTGCTGACAGAGTCAAAGGCTTTGTTGAGGTCTACAAATGCAATGTACAACGGTGACTGATGCTCTCTAGACTTTTCCTGCAGTTGACGAAGGGTGAAAATCATATCCATCGTAGAACGTTGGGCACGAAAACCGCATTGGGCCTCTGGATAGACACGATCTGCTAACTTTTGCAGTCTTGCCAATATTATACGACCGAATAGTTTACCAGGTATGCTGAGGAGTGAAATGCCGCGATAGCTGTTGCAATCACCGCGGTCGCCTTTCCCTTTGTACAGGGTGATGATATTAGCGTCACGCATCCCCTGAGGTACATACACCTCAGCCCAACATTTTAAGAATAGCTTGAACAGGACAGGAGCTACGCACCGTATCTTTACTATTTCAGCTAAGACGCCATCAGCCCCTGGACTCTTGCCACTCGAGCTCTGCGCAAATAGGCAACTCAGGAATTAAGTGTAGTGCCTCGGATGAGATGTCAACCGGTTGGGAGTAAAGTCCGCTGTAGTGTTCCACCCACCGACGAAGCTGGCGATTTTTGTCAATTATAATGGTGCCATCTGACTCCTTAAGAGGAGCTAATTTCTTTGGAACAGGTCCTAGTGCGTTTTTGATGTATGCGTACATTCCACCAAAGTTCCCTGTATCTGCGCAAGATTGAATATTTTTACAGATATTGATCCAGTATAAGTTTGCGTAGTATCGAGCATTGCGCTGAAGTGAGGCTTTTGCTTGCGAGAGTTCACACCGTGTGTATGGATTCGGATCAAGACGATGTTTGAGAGCTGCTTGCCGTTTGGTGTCAAGCAACGGTTGAAGATGGTCAATATTTGCCTTATACCAGTCTTGATTTAGGTTTGTTTGGAATCCAAAGGCCTTAGCTGCGGTGACCGTGAGAAGCCGTTTTACCCGCGCCCACTCTTCGTCCGCAGAGATATCAGGGCTCCATGTGGCGATTTCGGCACAAACCAGCTTCTCATATGTTTCCATAGAGGGACTGTGACCTGAGCTTGGAGGGCTTATTTTCTTTTTACCGACGGGACGAGCACAGTGGATTTTTTTCGGATTCAAGCGAACACAAGACATGACAAGGGAGTGATCGGATTCGCAATCAGCACTGTGGAAGGTTCGTGTGTGTAAGATATCTTGAAGATTCTTTTTCCGATAAAGCACAACATCTAGTTGGTGCCAGTGCTTTGACCGGGGATGCATCCATGAGACTTTTCGCATAAATTTGCCTTTAAAGTAGGTGTTAGTGATGCAAAGCTGATTTTGAGAGCAAAACTCTAAAAGGCGCTGTCCATTCGCATTCAGCCTGCCCACACCATGTCCACCGATACACTCAGGCCCCGCAGTGTTATCCTGTCCAACGCGAGCATTGAAGTCTCCAAGGATGAGAAAGCGGTCACCAGAACGCACCCCGCGCACTGTTTCACTGAGTTGGGTATAGAAATGGTCCTGTGCTTCTAGCGCTGACGACAGTGTTGGAGCATATGCAGCGATAATGGTCATGAAGCCGCCTTCTGTACTAATGCGCAGGATCATTATACGCTCTGAAATTCCTCTAGGTCCTTCAACAGAACTTAGTAGGTCGTTTCTTATAGCAAAGCCCACTCCGTGCTCGCGAACTTGAGTGGCATCTTTACCTTTCCAATAGAAGGTATAATTGGTTTCGCGTAAAGAACCTTCATCAGCTAATCGAGTTTCTTGAAGAGCCGCTATACTGACATTTAGTCTTAATAGTTCTGAGTCGATAATAGATGTCTTGCGAAGATGGTTGTCGCTGTTAAAACTTCCACAGATGTTCGGGAAGCCTGTCTGCATTGTGCGGACATTCCACGTTCCAATGCGCACGTATCGATGGTTGTGTTTTTTGCTATTTTTATTATTTGTGTTATTTGTAACCGCAGGTGAAGCACATAACGACACTGCCTGTCTGATTTGTGATCAGTATCTCCTTCACCCCAAGGAGACAAGACAGTACCGAGGCGGACACGTACCTTATTGGCCGGGGGCTGCCCGGATTAAAGCGGGCGGTAACGTGTCAATGGGCCTACGATGGACCCTCCCACTGTCGAGAGTGACCCCTGGTGCCCGCACCTTCGCCTATCTGCGCGGACTTATAACCGGTCACTGCCACTCCCCGTGTTATTTTCCACTCGCAGCTGAACTGTAGTGGGTGAAGTGACCTCTTCACGGACGCTACGTCGCCTGGGACTAGATTTAGATAACACAGGCTTGCCCAGTACCTGTATCATCCTCTCGACCTAACCGGCAAGACCCACAGGAATGACGAGTCAATACGTGTGGAGCCGGATCGGTTGCAGGACCTAGCTCATGCTTTACGGAGGTTCCATTCCGGGTTTATTTCGAGTCTTCCTTCTCTGATATTGGCGCAGATTATAGAGATGATCAATCTGGTAAGTTTCAAGTCACCAATATACATATATTACCTTAGTCGCCTTTTACGACTCCTCGGTATGCAAGAGGGAGGTACTATTCTACTCTGCCGGTAACCCCACGGCATATATATATATATATATATATATATATATATATATATATATATATATATATATATATATATATATATATATATATACATATTGCAATTATATTCTATATTTATAAAACAAAGTCCAGTTAGTTACAATATTTTTAACTCAAGAATGATTGGACCTATTTTTATGATCTTTGATATGTTGGATTTGTCGCCTCCCCGAATAGCAGAATAACTATTAAAATATCTGAAAAAATCACGAAAAAGAAGTACAATTTTGAATTTACATAGCTAACGCTGGCTAATAACTATATTTATATCTATTTAAAACATACCTAGAGACGAACCAGAGCGAAGCGAGCCTAAGTTGCTACTTATAAATAAATAAGAAAAATAAATTGATTTTATTATCGAAACTATTTTTTTTATTTTACTCCATATTTCATTAAAGGTTTTTATTGAATATAATTCTATTATTGGTATAGATGTTTCACATCTGCCGGGCCACATCGTTTTCTTTTTAAGTTAAATATATATACATACTCGAGAAATATTTAGTAACCATTTCATGATTCCACATTTTTTTTAAACTAACGACTCACCCTCGATTCGCTCGGGTTCGTCCCTAGCTTGATTCCCCATACCTCTTTCATCCCCATTTCCACTCCTTTAAGAGATGATTTCCGTGATAAAAAGTACCCTATATCCTTCCTAGTGTCTCAAACTATCTTGTTACCAAATTTGATCCAAATCGGTTTAGTAGATCCAGAGATTACCCCCTACAACGCGAACGTCACAAACTCACAATCTCTCAAACTTTACCTCTTTATAATATTAATATGTATTTAAACTCATATTAAGTCATGCCAACCGACCACTGCCCAACCGAGTCAAAAATAAGCAATAGTGATAAATAGTCTGGACCGGCAATCGAATTCAGGTCAATATTTCTGATAATACATTATACTATTATTTTGTGCTGGCAATTTTACAAGCATAAGTATCGGGCATGCATCGGCGAAGAAACAAGAGTCTTCTGTCTTGTTCATAGAGAAATTTTTACATAAGGTAGTCTTGTTCAAAGAGTATAGATATATGTCTTGTTGTTCTTGGTCTATGATAGGTCCTTGTATTTCAGAAAACTGAAAAAGTGAATTGTGAATTTACAATCAACAATGGTGCCCGTGCATTTGGCGCTGCGCGCCAATATTTTATAGTTATGACTTGTATATTTTAACGACACACACAAATTGTAACCTTACGTCTTGTAAGATATGTTGAGTAATGAGTTTCCAGTTTTAATGTAATGGTTCTAATAGTGGTAATACAATTTTGAGTATGTAATGTTGATCAGAATTGGTAATGGAATCTTTCGAAGACTCTAATTGCCGTTCAATGAGCGATAGTTTTTCCTTATATGAGCGCTATATGAGAAGTTTTAATGTTGTTGATAATTACGACAATAACCATGAGGAAATAAGTGAACTCTCAAGCAATTGTGATAGTTCTAATAGTGGAGGTAATATTGATTTGTCTACAGTTACACAATCCAAAATAACACAACAAAATGATAACCAGTTCAATAAATCAGAATGCAGTCCTTTGCACCTTATAAATTATAATTCTGAAAAAGTTTTGGATTCCGAATTTGTCAAAATCGAGTCACCGTGTATCTCACTCGCCACTTCGTCAGAAACCTCATCTGCAACGAACCAATGCTTGAATGACAAATCGAATATCACTGATATACCGGTGATCTCAGAAGAGTCCAAATCTGAAGGATTCAAAACTATATTTATAACCTCAACAATGGAAAATAGTAACAACGCGGTGGATAGTGTTCCTATGTTTCGTGACGTAAAAGCAAATGAGAGTGTTTTCAAATTGCCTATCAGTGAACTTTCTTTTAATGGTACAATCTTGAAGCATGTTCAAAAATTGAAACCCATTGTAGACCCTATTACTGCTTTGAGTACTGTTAGTAGTGTGCTAAACTTAAATGTTGAACATGTTCAAACAAATTCTGAAGTAAATAGTAATATGTGTGCTGAAAATAAAGGAATTGATTGTGTAAGTGATAGTGAGGAAAAAAATACCTTAGACTCAGTACAGATTGATAAACTTGCAACAAGTAGTTGCTACCAATATGATGAAGATACATCTAAGAAGGAACCAATTGCTGATGGCAGTTTGAAATGGAACTTGGATCAGAGCTACTCATCTCTTGAGGCATCCTTTGACAGTGGTATGCGTTCACCTGACATGTTTTCTGATGAAGATGCAGAAGAACTTAGTCCACAACCAGAACCATTCTGGAATTTTTTTAAAGACTTTGAAGCCTATGATAAGAAAAAAGTTAGAAAAATTGAGGTTAGTCCTTACTTTTATGTTAATTCTAAGAAGCCTTTATCTATACATATAATAAAGTTCTAACTAAGTTGAATCTGTACATTAAATATGTTTGGAAAATCTTATTGAAATAGACATTATTATCGATACAGAGGCCGATGATAAATAATAATGAAAATAGCTAGTTATCCGGGTCAACATATAAGATACTTTTTACTGCGAGATAATATCTCATTTCTGAGAAAAAATACAAAACCTGCAATGTAAGAGTATATTAATATCTTTAATATCTAAAGCCTAAGAATTTGGTTTTTGGTCATCTGAACGCGGGCGGAGCCGCGGGCAATGCTAGTATATTATAACATGATTCATTCTTGTCTTATTTTCAGGAAACACTGCAAGGGGTATTACCTCCACCATCTGTCACAACTTTAAAAACTGATGTAACACAAATGCTTAAAAAGTACTATTGTTTCTTGCCAGCATTTAATGGTGAAGAAAATTTAAATATTGAAAGTAATTCAATGACACCAACTAAAAAAGTTTCATTTATTAAAATACCTCCAGAACCTGGAGTCATGGATGATTTGCAAGAAATAACAGATGGTGCAACAATGAAATCTCTACAATGTAACTTGAATAATGCTAGAAAATCAGACATGAAAGCTAATACAAGCTTAACTGATAAAAGTATTGATTTGAAAATGTGTACAGAAACAGAAGCGCTAGAGACGGGTTGGCCAGATATATTAAAGTGCAAATATTATGATGTCTAGTAAGTAAATTTAATAATTTGTTCTTATTGGCTATTTTATATCACATTATTTGACGACATGTTTGGCTCAGTGTGTAGTGACCCTACTTGCTGTGCCAGCGGTCACGGGTTCGAGTCCCGCTGGGGACATTCATTGTGTGATGAGCACGAATGTTTGTACTCCAGTCATGGGTTTTTATATTTATAATATGTATGTATTTAAAGTTTATATATGTGTAGTGTATCAACTATCTGGTATCCATAACACAAGCCTCATAAGTCGTAGCTTACCATGGAACTAGATGGTGCTGTGTGTTAATGTTCCAACATATTTATATTTACATATTTATTATTAGGTAATGGTATCATAATTACTAAATTGAACTTTAAAGAATTTCCTTTAATGAAAGTTAGGATATACTTAATTGATGAAGTCAAATGACAAATGTTGCAAGTTTAAGCTTCATATAAAACAGTTCTTTGTTATTATTTAAATATATTTCAACATTAAAAACTGCTTTCATTATTTATATTTATAAACTTATACTATGTACTTGTAGTATGTAGTAGGGAGACAGCTTGCACCAGAGTATTTTTCCATCTGTGAGATTAGTTGCAGTGTCCTTTAATGTTGGGAAATGAATTTACACATACCACCTGTATATATACATACTGGTGGTTATGTGGGACTCACTGATTAAAACAGTACTATCCACTGAAACCCAACAAAACCTCCCCCGTCTTAATGGAGAGTCACAGGATTACTTACACACTCAACCACAACGAACCGACGGCAGGTCTGCCGAAGCAGACCACAGCAGAAATGAGTTTACTCCACTCTGCTATCAGAGAACTACCAGGAGCAACCCGCATGTATAAAAAGAACTATACTGCTACTGATAATATTATATATTTAATATAAATAGTATATACTTGAACTTTTAAGCTAAACTTGTTTTAATAACTTAAACCTAACCTAAGTCTTCTTTTCCAGTTATAATGTAACTGCCTACTCTGAAAAATTGGAGCAATTGATGCAACGTTACGGAGAAAGATTTATAGGAGCTGAAACTGATACAAGTGTTAATATTTATTCTGGAGGTCTCCAGTCTCCGAGCAGTGCCAGTAAACGCAAAGCATTGAGACTGAAGTAAGTTTGCTTTTATACATATTTATTTTTTTATTTATGTGTTAGTTCAACTAGTATTGAAAGTATTAATAGAATTTCCTTTTTTTTAATTGAGTTTTCGAAACACTTGTGAATTCCACAAACCTAAACTTGATCACCATGATGGATTATGACCTGATTCCCTTCGCAATGAAGGGATGCTCGTGCCCAGCAGTGGGGTATTAAAAGTTTGAATACATACATACAAATATGCAAATTTCAAAATTTATAATCTACTAGCAGTACCCGCGGCTTCGCTCGCGTCCAAACTTCCGATCGCTAACAAAATTGACAGGACCAATCGCTGGGCATTAGCCCAGATTACTGAAGATTACCTGAAAATTTCATCAAAATCGCTCTAGCTGTTTTGGAGTTCATAGGAAACATACATACACTCTTCGATTTTTATTTTATTTAATCAACAATTCAAAGTTATTTATTGCTCGGAAAATGGAGTCTTTTATGAAGATTTAGGGACACACCGACTGCAGCGCCACCTACTGGTTCCAATCGTGTTTTCAAACCATCCATGCGCCCATTGAAATATACACACAAAATTTTATCAAATCAGTCCAGTCCTTTAGGAGGAGTAGGTAGTGGAACAAACACACGTACAGAAGTGTTGTATATATTAAGATAATCTATACATATAAAAAATCCTAATTGAGTCGAATTTGTACATTAAATATTTTTTGGAAAATCTTATTGAAATTGTCATTATTATCCATAGAGTCCGAATCTATAGTTTTTAGAATGTCTGTCTGTCTGTTTGTCTTGGAACGCATCACGAGAAAACCTTCTTCTCCCTGCCCATTTCCCAAATCACTTGGGGTCGGCGCAGTACATCTTCAGTGTACTGCTGATAGGATTTGGCAAAAGTTTTACGACCGGCCGCCTGCCTGACGTCAACCCTCCTTGGGAATGCTATTGTCTTTCTTTGTCTGAATGGTGTTAAATATTATGCACTTTCGATTTTGTTGTGTTTTAAAACATTTTTTATACTATTAATTCAATTATTAATGTTATTTTTGGATATATTTTAAAATAAATTTCGATTACACAATAAATTTTGTATTGCATCACGAGAAAACCAATTGACAGATTTTGATGAAATTTGGTGTGATGATTGCTGGTTAACCGGGTTAACATTTAGGATAGGTACTTTTTACTGCGGGAATCTTATCTCTGAGAAATCTATACTAACCGTTAAAACGTAAGGACGAACCCGAGCGGGGCCAGGCTGAGTCGGTAGTTATAAATAAATACAAATACAGATCAGATATTATTTTCATAGGATGACAGATATTAAAATGTTTAAAGAATAATATAGTTACCAAATATTCTATTCTATTCTATTCTTTTGTTTAGTGGCTTCCAGGAGTGCCAATTGGGCACAAAATACTTCGCCAATGTCGCGTAGAATGGAGAAAACACGTTATATTAAGAAGGACTGGTAAAAGAGAGAAAAAAACATCACTAGATCTGATTACGTGTTGAAACGGAGCAATTCGTTGTAAAATCAGGATCTACAACAGACAACACAATATATATAAAAACACTAAGAAAAAAATAAATACTGGTTGTTAGTAGTGATAATAATCTAATTATAACTACATTTTAATTTTATTAATTTTAATATATGTACACAGAAATCTACATAGTGGACTAAACACAAACATTAACAAACAATTAACATTAATGGGGCGAGGGACTTTAGAAGGAAGAATGTCATAGAGAGGGTGGAGGAGTTTAGGACAGCTGAAAAGAATATGGGAAGGGGAGCCTTCGTCAAGGCCACATTCACACAAGGAGTGGTCCCTGACTCTAATCTTAGCCAAGTGTACAGGAGTACTTGCATGCCCAAGACGTAGACGACAAATTGTAGATACAACCCAACGTTCCGCCAGTTTGTAGCAAAAGAACCAGGGGCGTCTTGGAATCTCTGGCTGAATAGCAGCATAGTGCTTACCTTTAAAAGATTTTGAGAAGTTCCAGTTATCTTTCCACGATTTGTCCAAGTACTTTTTTGCAAGATATAACAAATCCTGCGCCGAATTTGAGAAATGCTCTAATGAGCCACACTGTATGGCAGATTTGGCACAAGAATCTGCTGTTTCGTTACCAGGAATTCCGGAGTGACCCGGAACCCAAACTAGTGAGATCGCTAAGCCATTTTGATCACATGAGTACAGAGCTTCACGAATCCTTAGAGTTATGGAACATCTTAATTTACTATGAAAGGGGTTCTCCTTAATAGCCATTAAGCAGCTTAATGCGTCAGTAAAAATAACAGTCTGTTTATAGTTATGGGAGCGGGTAAACAGGATTGCTTCTAACAAAGCAACAGCCTCGCCTGTAAACACCGATGATTCGGGAGGACACTTAAATAGCAACATAATTTTGAATTTCGGAATCCAACAAGCTGCACCAACACAGCCATCCTGAGATAGTTTTGCCGCATCGGTAAAGATCAGGAGATGATTCGACCAGTTTTGATGTACCATTGCTTGGAATTTTGTGTTGGTGTCAGGTGCTCCCTTAGTCAGACCAAGATCTGTGATTATAGAAGGAGCCATGGCTAGAGCATCATAGGGAGTACAAAAGATAGGATTAGAGGGGAAACAAGACATGGGATGTGGAAGTTTAGTGAATTTAAGGAAACTGTCCAGTAAAAAGGATAATGGTTTATTTGAAGGGCTTAGTTCAGCCAACTGCCGCAGCTTCGGCCACAAGGGATGGGAAGATAACTGTAATGACTTGCAAACATAGCGGTCGGACAGATACTGCCGACGGATAGGTAAAGGAGGATCGACACATTCAACCTGAAGGGCGTTGGTAGGAGAAGACCTCATTGCACCTAAAATTAATCTTAGGCACTTATACTGTATTTTATTTAGCTTCTCTGAAGCTACTTTATTAAAGGGGTCTAGAACAAATAGGCCGTAGTCTATATGACTACGTATGACAGAATTGTACAGTAGTTTTTGAGTATATGGGTGTGCCAAATATTCTAACATTTATATAAAAATTTATGCACTCTGACATACATGGTGCCAAATATTCTAACATTTATATAAAAATTTATGCACTCTGACATACATTGTGACATTTTAAAATAAAAAAAAAATGTGTGTGTGTGCGGACGTACGCACGTAAGAAGTTATACTTCTTTGGCGTAAAAATATCTAAAGATTTCATCCCGTATGTTACAGCTCTCTGTTTGTAAAAGGAATGCTGCTAACTTCATGTCGCTTTCAGCTAACTTCATCATGTCGTTTTTTGGCTGTCGGTGTGCGCGCGCATCGTAAAAATTTTACTCTCATATCTTTTTCTAAAAGAAGTATAATTTCATAAAAAAACCGCTCCACTGATTTCTATAAAATTTATATGGGAGCATCTGGGAAGTATGTATGTACCTTTTGATACAAAAAAAATTCCAAATCGGTTCAGGCGTCTTCGAGTAATCGGTGAACATACAAAGGTTCCAACGAATTGAGAACCTTCTAGTTTTTGGAAGTCGGTTAAAAATGTAAACTAAAAATTATTCTAAAATTCACTACATCTGAGGGGACTTTGGCAAATAGAAGATTCTGGCAAGAGTGATATAAACTACATTTATCGTGGAAAAGAAAAAGCGTTCCCGCAGGAGAGAAGACAGAAACCCTTTTTTGTCTTGACATTTACTATTAAATTCATTTAATTGTGTTCATTAACAGTATTCGTGAGTGATATTGATAATTTTTTTAACGTTGAAATTCATGTCACGGACGAAAGCTAATACAAGTTACAGAAGCTTCTAGTTTCTTTCTAAGATTTGTCAATAAAACATCTTATAGCTAAATTTAAGAATCTATTATCAAAAAAAGTTCAACTGTATGTACGTCATAGATAAGAATATGTGGAAATAGGGCGAGTTGACGGTACTCCACGATAGAGATCCACGATAACAGTCGTATTAAAAAAACTATAGCAAAATTACTGTACCTACTGCTATGTGTTCAAAAAGGTACTTAATACGGTTTGTATATTTTAGGAAATGCTACTCGATATCTTCGTGAAGTGTGGATTGATTTTTATCCGACTGCGGCCCAACGGAGGGTTATTTGTTTGATTTGTATGTATGTAGTGTGTATGTAGATCCTATGTTGCCTAGTAATTACTAAACGGCTCAACCAATTTTAATTATACATACATGATTAGATTCGCCTTGATAACGCCTTTTACGGAAAAACGTTTGACGTGGTTTGTATAGAGATATTTCATGAATCGGAGAGTGACATAAACTATTTTGTTCGGATATTGATTGAATGGTGGCCAGAGTGCCACGCGGTCTATTACTCAATATTTTCTAAAGGAAGCTGATGGTGTAGTTTTAGTGTGAGCAAAGTAATTGGGCACTAATAATGTAACCTTCTTTACAAAAAAAAAATCCTTCTAATTTACATCTGATAAGTAATAAAACTAGCTATGTGCTAATAGCATTCGCATCAAGAATATTAACCATTATACAATATGTCTAGTGGTAGCATGAAACATTAATAAGCTAATCCATTACCTACCATAAAATATGAAGAGCTTGGGTTTTGCAAACAGTTATATTGATATAATCTCGCAGATAAATACTTTTATTTGCTGTAAATTATAATACATAACATATTAAATATATAAATATAGTAGCAGTGGTAGTCCAGTGGTAAAACGGTCGCTTGGGAAACCGAGTGAAGAGAAGAGGCTTCAAATCTCGGGTTTCGCACCTTTGACATTTTCATGTGCTAATCATTTTCCAACATGATTACCACTTGTTTTACGGTGAAGGAAAACATCGTGAGGAATCCTGCGTGTCTAAGAGAACCTAGCAAGTTTTCAAAAGACTTGGGCAGTCTGCTAAACCGCACTTGGCCAGCGTGGTGGACTATGACCTGATCCCCCTCGTATTGTGCCCAGCAGTGGGACGTTAAAAAAAGGCTTAATACACTAATATGTTACTTAATTCACATGAAATCATTTTTTTCTTAAAAAAATTACAAGAATTATACCATTAAGCCGTAGAATCTATGCATTTTAACTTCTTTCAACATTGCATACCCTATATCTTATTCATCCATATCTATTATATATCTTTGCAGAATGGCGCAAGCAAAATCACCAGGTAGAAGGCTGTCTCATTTAGCACGTCGACGACAGGCGTTCTGTAGCGCGGCCACTATCAACGAAAAGGCGCAAGCGTCTACTGCTAAAATGGTCCTTATTGATAAGAAGTAAGTGTTAAAAATTGTATTTTTTAATGTAATCGTATTTAGTCCAGCCTTTTCGGATTTGATATTTTTTCCAGTCTGTAATTATAGATATGTTAATATTGGCAATGGTTTAGTTAGAAGTTAGTAAATAAATTAGCTTAATATTCTTCTATAAATTTACCAACAAACTAATGACAATTTTCGTTTAAGTTTCTTCCCACACAGAAAGCTTATCAACTCCGCTGAAAGGAAAAGTCCTAGAACTCGACGGACACCCGGTAAGAAGACGCCATCACGGAAGACTCCCGGGAAAAAGACACCAGCGAAGACCCCGAAGACTAAAAGTGGGGGTTCAAGCAGAAAGAAGGCCATGCGAAGACTATTAATGGATGATACACTATCAAAAACACAACCTAACCTCAAGAGGGCGTTATTTATTAGTCCAGAACATAGAAAAACTGAGCCAGCCCCGAGCTCGTCAGTTCCACATCAGGCTATGAAATCCAAGCGAGCTTTATTTGGGTCCCCAGTAAGACAAGCTGAGACAAAAAGTCTAGATGGTTCTTCAAGTGATCAATTCTTAAAAAGAAAACGAGATACGCTCGACGATACGCCTGAAACGAGTAGAAATAAAATAGCTAAGAGTTTGTCCTTTGGTGGTGATACAATAAATTCGTCGCAATCTATCACGTTGAACCGTCGCGCCTCTGAAATATCTTCAAGGAATATGGCTGAACTGAATGAAACTCACAAAAAGGTAATATACGATTTCTAATTATGTAGTTTTAAACGAATTTTAGCAATCTCTGGAGATATTGTTTTTTTAATACTTTCTTAGATTTACGCGAATATTTGACATTTTAAATAAAACTATCTTTTCGGATGACCAATAAATCCGCGAAATAATCCGAAAAGATAGTTTCATTTAAAACAAGATTTATTTTCATTTGTGGTTTTCGGCATTTCGAATGCTTTACAGCAATCATGGTCAGGGGAGAGACTATATTTTTATTACATATATTTATAAACGAAATTAGCTGAATATTGTTGTTTGGTAACATTGTTGGCGGTCTTGATGGTAAAATGGTCATGAAATTGAAAAATTTGAAAAATACATTACATGATCTGCGTGTCGTAGACTTGAGTGAAATTGGGAATGAACATAGCTAGCTATCCTTATATTATTTATTGACCATCGATCACTAATAAAGAACTAGATACACAATCCCATGTAAAATGTCTGTTAAAACTATCTTGTTAAGGTAATTTCAGTTGAAATACGTAAATATACAAAAATGTTAATTCAATATTAAATATAATGCTCTAAGTTGTTTTCATAAAGCTATGTAAGCAATTTACGGCCGAGACTCGTTGGTAAACATACATCAAAATCAAAATTCAACCTTATATGCATGTTTTAAGGTCAGAATTACACTGTAAGAGTCCTTACAATTGAGATGTTTTATAACTCTTGCTGTTTATTACGACTTAATTTAAAAACTGTTTTTACGATGGTTTCTTAACAAAATATCAGTATTTATAATACAGTGTAACTTCGATCGACCCACCTAGCATACTAGCGGCGCTGCGAACGCACTAACTATTAATTATAACTTCAAAATAAATATTTTGTATATATAATTAGTAATTTGTACATTCCTTTTATAAACATGTTTATTAAATATTGATATATTTATTTCAGAAGCTTCTCTGGGCGGTAACGGAAGCGCTGCGGCTGCACGGCTGGCGCATGTCCTCGCCAGGGTTCCGGGAGAAGGCGTCGTCGCTAGCGCGCCTCACGCGCAAGCTGCTGGCGCTCCCGCAGCACGCGGCTAAGCTGGCCGCGCCCAAACTGTCCACTTCTGATACTATGTTTAAGTGAGTTGTTTTATCTTTAATGTGTCAAATGTATATATGAATTTACTAGCGACTCACCCTCGCTTCGCTCGAGCTCGTCCCTAACTTGAGTCCCCATACAAACTTTCATCCCCATTTTCACCGCCTTAAGGGATGGTTTCCGGGATAAAAAGTATCCTATGTCCTTCCCAGGGTCTCAAACTATCTTCTTACCAAATTTCATCTAAATCGGTTCAGTAGATCCAGAGATTACCCCGACAAAGTCACAAAACCTCTTTATATTAGCAGTATAGATACATGCAACTGCCTCGGTGGTGTAGTGGCTAGCATGTACGGCTGCACACTCGGAGGTCCTGGGTTCGAGTCCCGGGTCGGGCAAAGTTTAGCTATTGAGTCTTTCTGTAAAGTAAGCCTCAGTAACAGCCCGGAGTTGGGAAGTTGGCGGTGTTTCACCCCCGTGCCTCGGAGAGGACGTAAAGCCGTCGGTCCTGCGCCTTAACTCTCACTGGTCGTGTCGAGCAGTCGTCCCACCGGAGTATGAGAGTGACAGGAATAGAGAGTGCACTTGTGTCTGCGCGTACACTTGTGCACTATAATAGCTCCTGCGCAGTTGGCTAGTCTCAATGAGATTGGCCGCCGTGGCCGGAATTGGTCAGGAGAACATCATAGATACATGTAGCTATTTATTTATAATAATTATTTGTGTATGTAAACGTGTCTAAGCAAGTATACCGCCTACCGTTTTATTTTAAACTTACTCCTCCACCACAAGCCTGGAAGAGATCGCTTCCAGCGATAAGCGACTTTGTGCATCTTTTCTATGAGTTTTTATGTTTCTTTTTTGGTGTGGAATAAAGTATATTATTATTATTATTATCGTTTACTCGTTGTAAGTCAATAAGATCTTTACTAGTGATACAGTAACAAAACCTTCTGCTTAATATGTGATTTGTCACGATTTCAATCAAACATTAAAAATATGTTGAAAATGAAATGAAATTTTCTTTATTGCACACCATTATTTTACATTATTATGTTATTATATATGTTATTGACTAAAGATAATATTATTCCGTCATAGAATACTTTGCAGATGCAATTGTGTGTGACTAATTTTAATTGACACTTACATAGAAGAAGCACATATCTTATTGTATTGCAAAATTTTAACTAAAGATCATTTCTGCAGTCAATTTCTGTGGATGTTTATTTATATTTAAGCAAATAATACATTAACTTATTACAATCACATACATATTTAAATAATATTGTTTATTTCATATTTGTTTAGCGTAAACCGTTTCTGTACGTTCAGTAAATATTAATCATCAATCTAGAAAATAAATCCGTATTTAATACCTATTTTGTTATATTTATATTGTAAATATTATTTCAGACTAGCTCGACAATATGTGTTCGCAATAATCCAAGGTCGTACAGTAGAAGAGTGCTTTCAAGATGAACAAATAAAACTAACCAATGAGAGCAACAAAATAACCGGCTATATCTCAGCTAGCGCCTACCAACAGATAAAAGCCAAACAGACCACATCAACCTTCACATCGCAAATAAAAGAAAATTTCGCTAGTTCCATAAAACAAGAACAACCCAGAAGTGGATCGAAGAATATACTACAAGATAAGTTGGTAAATATCGATTCCAACTCAAATAGTAGTAGCGGTTTTAGTGTAGATAAAGCCATTTACAAATCGAACTCCATGCCCTCTTTCGAGGAGGCCGCTAAAATGAGAGCCAGACGACAGATCAGCTTTGATAATGTTGACTTTCCCAAAAGATGATTTGAATGCTGATTTCTTTAAAATCTTTAAAAATTCACATAGATTTTTTGTCTTCATTTAAGTCAGTTTTGGGATTTTAAATAAATCTTATCTATTCAGACTTTTCTTTGGAAGGGACCATGATTGCTGTAAAGCATTCGAAACGTCGGGAACTAAAAATCAAAATAAATGCGCGAAAAAATCTGAAAAGATAGTTTTATTTAAAATGTCAAATATTCGTGTAAATCTAAGAAACTATTAAGTTTTGGGATAAAGATATATAAGGGTTCACTGTATCATTTTTGAAGTTATACTTCTTTTGGCACGTTTGGAAACAAATATGAGAGTAAAATTTTTACGATGCGCGCGCACACCGACAGCCAAAAATCGACATGATGAAGTTAGCTGATAACTGTCTCTCCGGCTTCCGTGAAAACTCATAACTGTATTAATTGTAGTTTTTCAAATATTCATAAATATATATCAAGTGTTTTTAAATATCAGTGGAGATAAAAAAAATTATTTATTAATTTATCATTCCTCTTACAAACAGAGAGTTGTGACATACGGAATGAAATCTTTAGCTAAATTTTGTTCTGTTACGCCAAAGAAGTATAACTTCTTACGTGCGTACATAAGTACACACACACTTTTTTTTAACAATGACAGTTATGGTTTGCTTACTAGTATTTTAGTTGTGACTTCATACATTTATTGGAAGCTAGTTAGAAATATCTTATAATTTTATTATTAACCTGTAATAAATTCGCTCATTTAAAAATTTATATTAATTGTTCTTTAAAGTTGAGCAATGTTGGCAGCTGCAAAAATTAGATGAATGATCTCTTCTTAGTCGGAATGATTAAAGTTTCAGTGGCACATTAATTCTTGAGGTCTTGGTTGTTATCGTTGGTCTAGTCTAAAGCTTTCTAATAATCATATGCGTCCCTAGGTTCACAGATTTGTTTACGCTTCGAAGAGTTTCTTTCGTGGAACCCTAATTCTTTTTTCAAAATAAAAGTCTTTATAACATCAGCTATCTGCCAGCGATAGTCCTGTCAAAATTGGTCCACCTGTTTCAGAGATTAGCCGAAACAAACAGAAAGACAAACAAAAAAATATTAAATTTTAGTTTTTCTTATAAATAACGTCCATGTATTATATCATATGCATTTAGAAGGTGTTATTTTGACATTACAATCACACTAAAAAATTTTTAACTGCATAGATTATTTGTCAAAGATGTTTGTTTGTTTTTATGTTGGTACTCGATATTTCTCTTAACACTTTACCGATATTAATGATTTAGTCTTCATTTTGAAGATAATGTTTTCAGCTAATGACGAAAAATCTTTTTGTTTTGAAAATATTTTACATAAACTCATGTCATCTGTTGACCGTTGATTGATTATTATACTTTATATCTGATATTTTAAACCAGTATACCCAAAACAGACGTCCTGCTTGTACCATTTTTTTACAATGTTTGAGCTCATAAAAAATATATAAAATAAAACAATTTCAGTTTCTCCCAATTTTCCCGCAAATATTTAAAATTTTAAATTTAAAAGAATTAGCCACATCAGACCAGCCGTTCTCAATTGATGCACTTACCCATGAATGTAATTGAATTTTAATATATAGAAAAATTACCGATTAACCATCGCTTTGCTCAGGTGCGTCCCTACGGTAGGTTTATATAGTTAGCCAACTATATTAAGCTATTGCATAGCTTCTATCGCGGGTCTTGAGCGTGGGGACCGAATCCAGAAATTCCGTAACGAAAAAAACCTGACACCCCCCACTCCGACCGGCACAGCGGTGATACTTTTTAGTTTTTCCATCTATCGATAAATACCAGTACTTTTAATGACTTTTTGAAATATCACGCTTGTCTCTTTAGTTCAGCAACCCGCCTTTAAGTGGCATTGGTTGTATTGGAAAACTACCGTAATCAGCTGTTTGTGAGAAAGTATATAGGTGTATAGGTATTTATCATCTATGTACAACAGTGAATATCTGTACTCGTATAATTTGTGTACAAAGTGTTTTAAATATGAATAAACAAAGTGCATTTATTAATAAATAAAGTCAAGGAAAAAAAAATACTGCATTAATAAAATAAATAATTATAATTGCATAAGTTGATAAAAAATGCTATGCAATAGCTTTACCGCGGCAGTCTCCGAGTGCCACATTTAATTTAATTATTGTTTTTCGTGACTTTTCCGATGTTTTAATAGTTATTCTGCTATTCGGGGCGGAGATAAATCCAAGAAATTAAACATCATAAAACTCGCACAAAGAAGGTTCATTCTTGAGCTATAAAAGATGTAACTAACCCCATTTTGTTTTATATATACAGAACAATTTCTGATTAGCTTCTAACAAATGGTAGTATTATTTATTTCAAAATTTTAAAACTAAAAGCTTATTCATGTAATCGGCTCAATTTACTTTATCAAGCATTTTATGGGTTCATATTAGTCGAGATTCGTAAGTGCTTCCTTTTGTTGATTTATTTATAGTATAGCTTTATATTGTTATTTAGCGTGTCTCTTATGTTTAATGGCTAATGTATACATTGCGCTTTATATTGTATGGTGCAATTTTTGTAATTTGACGACACGTTTGGCTCAGTTTGTAGTGACCCTACTTATTGTACCAGCGGTCGCGGGTTCGAGTCCCGCTGGGGGCATTCATTTATGTGATGAGCATGAATGTACTCCAGTCATGGGTGCATGTATTTATAATATGTATGTATTCAAAGTTATTTATATGTATATATATGTAGTGTATCAACTATCTGGTATCCATAGCGCAAGCCTCGTAGCTTATCATGAAACTAGATGGTGCTGTGTATGAATGTTCCAATATATTTATTTAAAAACCTGGTTTGAGCGGCCCTGGTTTCGCTCGGTTTCTTTTAAATTTGACACATACATATTTTGTATGCCCCTTTGCTCATGGAGGGAATTAATGATATTTATGTAGATTACATTAGAATGTGTGTTTTCTTATTTGGGTTGAAAGTCATTTAAGGTAGGTAGATTAGGTCCGGGCTTTTAAGTTTTAACAAATAGTTAAAACATATATTTTTATATATTATGTATTACATTTAATATGTTCAATGTGAACTTGACAAAACCATCTAATTAAAATATTTGAATGGCCTCGTATTTAGGCAAAAATCAAACCACCGCACATAACGCAAACGTGAGTTTTTCCACCACTGAGCTATATGGTTGTTATATTATCTGTTGAAGGATTTTTTTACATTTTAGCTGAATCATACAGATTGCATGTCTATACATAGTATTTTTTTATGTAATACAAGACAAATTAAATAAACTTTATTTTGCATTTTTTATATATTTGAGATAAACTTTTGCTTTAGGAAACATTAGTACTTATTTTTGAAATTAAGCTTGAAGCAACCATTTTTTTATTATTTACCAAAAGGAAATTTTGATAAGCCTAACAAAAATTCTATGCTAATGTTATAAACTTATAACAGTATAAAAATAATATGTATGCTGTAGTTTGTAAGTAACTTTGCTTGGAATTATTTTCAGGCATGAAACAAAAAAGATTTTTTAACGGTAATGTAGTATCGACATTATTGTAAATGTAAAAAAAATTTACTAGTACGTGTGACTGAAAATTAGAAGTAATTTCATATTTCTAAACGAAAAAAAAATGGATATTTTACTAACAGGAATTAAAACATTTTTTTCTTTAATTTTGTTTAATATATTTGGAAATGAATGTACCTACTTGTATTAAATTATATTTAATATTAATTGTAATACGTGTTAGATTTCAAGAAAAAAATAATATATAGTACTGCCGTTATAAAAAGAAGGCCGCAACTTCGTCAAAGTTTATTTTGAGATATTTGAAGTTTTGTCTTAATAGTAGTTTTGACGTAGTTACGATGAAAATGGATATAGTATCTCCGGATTCATAAGACTTAGAGCTTTATGAGTAAGACTATCAAGTAGCATTTTTTTACTGATTCCGAGTGTGCATTTAAGTCATTTTTGACCAAATTTTTAGTTAGGGCCTTCTTTATTATGACGGCAGAGTAGGTTTTATATCGTAAATTTCTTATTAAAACGCAGATGTAATACCTTTCGATGATGCTTTCTGTTTGAACATCCTAATATTAATATCTTTCATAGTTCTAAATTTTATATACGCTGGTTGTATACAGTGTGTGTTAGGTATTTAAAATTATAATATGTAAGTAGTATATTATAAAGTTAAAAATAGGTAATATCGTCTATTAGGTAAATTTTCGAACTGAAATTTAAGTGTGAACTCAAGTAACTTCTCTTTATAAGTGTTACTATCCCTGAGTTTGATCTCAGATGTATTTGTAAGCAATAAATTATTTTCTCTGAAAAGTTATATATTGGATTTTATTTAGTTTTATTCCTATTGTATAATGAAACTAGTGGATACGATATTAATATTCAAATATGTACAAAGTTCAAAATTCTAACAGTAATTCTACATATTTTTTACATTGAAGTGATGGCATTTCTAAAAAAATTCTATGCTTTTAACTAAAGAAAAAACTGGATATAATTTATTTGTCGAAAATCGAACCCACGAAATTAATAATGCTAGCCGCCATCGACATATACTATCGTTAGTAATAAACTAATGAATAAAACTGATATCTTCACAAGTAACAGTTACTTCCTTTCCGATAATTTTCATTTTTATCAGTCGACATTTTGCATTTCACAATTCGCTACACATTTATAATTTTCAAGTGGCATGCCATAGAGTTGAAAAGCAATGTTTTAAAATTAATACTGTTCATAGGAAATCTATTGTTTATCGATTGAGATTGATGATAACTTATCAGTTTATTATTAATGCTAATTGCAGTGCTATAATCGATTATAGTACGCTTTAAAATTTATATAAAAGTATATGAAGATGGGTATGTGTCAAACTAAATATCCCGGTTTAACGCAGGATATTCTCGAGGACTATGCTGCGTTGACTTTTTTAAGTAAGGGCGAAATTATGCAGTAAGTGTAATGATTATGTTACAATTGTTAGTGCTTTTGTGTGTATAATTGTACTTCATATACCTAACGAATTTAGTTGATTAATATTTTAAATAAAACTATCTTTTCGGATTATTTCGCGGATTTATTTTGATTTCTGGTGATTTAGTGACGATTCCGTGACCATGCTTGCTGTAAAGCATTCAAAACGTCGGGAACCAAAAATCAAAATAAATCCGCGAAATAATCCGAAAAGATAGTTTTATTTAAAATGTTAAATATTCGCGTAAATCTAAGAAAGTATTATTGATTAATATTGTGAGAAATAGCTAAAATAATTTTTAATTTATACTAATATTATAGAGGCAGAGTTTGTTTGTTTGAACGCGCAAATTTCAGGAACTACTAATCTGATTTGAAAAATTGTTTTTGCATTAAATAGCCTGTTTATTGAGGAAGGCTACGGGCTATATATCATCCCGGAAAAATATACGGTTCCCGTGGGACAGATTTGTTTTTGTCTTGTTAATATGCGCATAACTAAGTCTTTACAGAAGAGTGCATGGCTGTTTAGCGTATCCTTTAATTTAATATTGTGTCTATAATGTAACTTTTTGTTTTCATATAGTTTAATGAAAAAATTTTATTCTATTGATCCTGAGAAAATTGATGCGAATTATCATCATAGATTTCACAAGGACGATATAATAGAAAAGTTTGATGTTTTAAAGGTGAGCTGTAAATATAAATAAATTTTATATTTTTAAATAGAAATTCGTTTATGATTGTAACGGGTGGCGGGCTTACTTTTTTTATTATTATTCATAATATATATTTCAGAATAGTCCGTTTCAAGATCGCCTATTCCGGGTGTTTTCATCTCAGAAAGACGACTGTTTTTCATTCGAAGACCTCTTAGATTTATGTTCTGTTATGAGCCCTGAATGTCTCCCTGAAGTAAAAGCGTCATGGGCTTTTAAAGTTTATGGTAAAGTATAAAATATGCTATAAATAATATGAAATAATTAAAAAGACAGGCAAGTGCGAGTCTGACTCTTATACCGAGGGTTTCGTAGTGTGAAACATTATTTTAGATACATTTTAGCTAGAATAAAAAAAAACATTTGTAAACATATATCTCAAGACTCAAATAGCGTTTTAACGTTTAGTATAGCTTTCTCAGAGATGAGATATTTTCCCGCAGTAAAAAGTATCATATATGTTGACCTTGATAACCAGCTATCATCATATCAAATTTCATCAAAAGCCCTCTTAGTGGCTTATCCGTGATGCGGTCAAAACTATAGATTCCGCGTCTGTATCGATAACAATCTATTTCAATAAGATTTTCCAAAAAAATATTTAATGTACCTACCTACCTACGGATTCGGGCTCGGCTTATAGTTACAATTTTATTATATGTATATTGTATAGACTTTAACACCGCCAGGTAAATTTCTAAGAAATTAATTAAACTAAGAAATCTATTGTTAACTGTAACGCCGGCGTGTGCTCGGTCGTGGAAGGATTAAAGACATTTCTAGAGATATTTCATACACTGTGTGGATTTTAATTTTTTTACACGCAGTTATTTGTACAAAATGCCACCATTTTTTTTATAATTTGATGATGATGTGATTATTCCGTTTAGCCACCAGCCGTTTAGTGGATATTCGAAAATTGTGTGTCTCGAGTATCTATTCTGGATAATGAGCAAGATAGTAAAGAAGAATTTGGATATTATTTATTTTTACAGCCCTTTATGGACTTCAGGGTGGAACTAAGGATTTGATTTAAAGGGTGTTAAGGTTTGTGACCAGGGTGGGTCAGGATTCAGGACTCAGGATATTTTGGCACACGATTTAAAATAATCATTCTCAGATTGGCTACCGGAATAACTCCGAAAAGTTTTATAATAAATCTTATCAGAATTTTATTCATTTTTTTAGATATAGATGAAGACAATGCTATATCTACCCAAGATATATGCGATATTTTGGACAGACTTACAAGTGATCCAGATAATAGTGAGGACCATCTGGATAAAGAATCTAAAATGGAAATAGCGAAAGGAGTATGTTATTATTTTATTACTACGTTTTTATAGAGATCGGGCAAGGGTTCTAAATGGTACTACACATACAATGTCGGAGATTTTAGGTTCGATTTCTAAACAGTTGAATATTTGCGGTGATCATAACATAGGTATATAAGTTAGCTTAATATGGCATCTTTTGCTAAGTTCAGTACAACTCCGCTGTGTTCGGAAGGAAAAGATAAGCGCCACGACGCGAAAATTCGTGTTGTGATCGTTTTGACTTACCCACAAAGCGTTGTGGCACAAGTTACAACAAAGTTTTTTTCGCGGAATGATTATTTTCGGTTCTCGACCATTCATAATATTATGTTTGTTGCATTGGGTACTTACTGAGATGTCACAAATTTATTTTGTTTATGCATAAAGTCGAAAAGTGAATACATTGATGTATAGAACTCAGGATACTAATATAATTAGCTTTTCAAAAATGTCCTGAAAGAAAGGTGCACAATTTTGAATTGTGCGTCTTTCTCAATTAGTCTCCAAATGTGTGAGCTACTGAGTCTCATATCAATTTCGGAATAATTTAAAAATGTGACATTACGTATAATCAGAATTTACGATTTTTGGGTTTTATGTTCGGTTTGACTTAGGCCCTTCTCCCATTACGACACACGTAGGATACAATACTCAAGTCGCATACGAGCTGAATAGTTGTTTGCAACTCGACGTTCGCACATCACGCTACTGAAAAATAGCAAAATGCATCATTTGGTTTGTGTTTTATTTATGAACGGACGTATTTTTTCGAGATACGTAGGAGACGCGACGCGCGAACGCGTACGATGCGTAGTGTGCGAGCACCGATACAAATGTACCTATGTGAGATACTCCGCGGTGATTAGTCTTCAGGATTAGATACTAGAGACATAGAGATAAAATAATAAATATTACCATCCTATTAAAATTATTACAAATATTAAAGATAACCTTTAATATTTATTTTCAGATAATGGATAAAATGAATTTGGATAACAGTGGCAGTATCAGTGTGAGCGAATTCAAGATGGTATTGTCCAGAATTCCTGAATTTTCATCATCGTTTTATTTTAAATTATAATACCACTATAAAATCTAACTTTTAACAATAAAGTTCTTATAATATTCCATACGTTTTAGTTTTTTTATTTTGAATATAACTGATATTTAGGTAAATAAGGTATGGTTCAAGATCACAGTTCTTTTATAAAATTTCGTCAAATAAATAATTAAATATTTTTATACCCATCTTTATTTCAAAAGAGTGACAATTTATCGTACAAAAGCTTTGCAGGCCGCCTTATTGTAACGTCCTGCGAGAGTGCGATCAGGGAGTGAGGGGAAGCCACTCGTCCGTCCCGCGTCACTCGGCAGTACTAGAGGCTGCTTGTATTTAACATGGTACATTGGGAACGATAGATATGTTCTGGAATAATTAAACTTATGTATTTGTTATTGTTATTTGTTGCGGTTCCATTATATTTATAAGTATGATATAAAAAAATGTTCTTTAAGGCTATTCGCTACAGTGATAACATGTAAAACATTATTTTACTCTAACATCTAAGTAATATGAAGAGGTAGTATATATTGTATTTTGTGATTAAATAAACGGTTATTTATGAATTGTGATATTATCAAGCTATCGACAAGCCAATATAACAAATTTAAAAATAAAATACTTAATACTTTCGATTAGCGCGAATATTTAAAATAAAATAATTTAAATTTTTCCCGTAGTCAGAAAGGTACTTGCGTAGAATAATAATTATAAATGCAATTTGTATATTTTTAAACAGTATGAAATATTCATTAAAGTTCGTGTCGGACAGTGTTACCGTCAATACGTAGTTATTTTTACGAAGTACATAGCTACAATTTATTTAACTTACGGCGTCATATCAGGCGGACATTGCCACAAATATTCTGGTTCTTTAAAGTATAACAGGGGATGATGGGCTTTTGTGTAACCTCGGTAGTAATCTCTATGTCGCTGGCATGCCTTAATAAACAGATAAGCAATCATTAGTATGTCATTAGAAAGCCAAGTTAGTTTTATTGTGCAAATAAATGGGCATGTATATTATCTTCACGTTAGAGAATAGATAACGATTTTTTAGGCACATAAGTAGGTACTTCTTTGATTTTTCGCTACATACAATATTTTATCATTCTGTTTATAATTACGCACGTTTGTTCGACGATACTGACCTCTGAACCGAACCTTTTTTGATTAGATAGAAAAAAAAACACACGATCTTAAAGTTCCTATGACCTTTCCCTACTTAGTATTCTAGCTTCCAAGGCAGACTGAATGACCCTGCCAAGGTTCACTATAATATATCTTTTACTCATACTTTCCATGCGTACACATCATCCTAGTACTTATGTTATTTTAACAATCACAGAACCACCATGCTATGTATCATCATTACATGGTGGTTCTAGATTTAATTAATAATTTGACAGATTCCTGGAAGCGAAAAATTTATATTTATTTGTTTACAAATAGACAGCAATATAAATATGACGAGGGAATTACTTTCAAAGAGGTATCTACTTAAATATTTATTTTATACTGTTATTATATACGTAAATATTTTTCCGCACTACCTCATAAAATGTTTCAATTTCGTCTTGCCTTGCGTTATCAACGAAGTAGATATCCATGTTACCCAAAAATTGTATTTATCTACTTGATGAATACGAATTATTTACATTGAATTTTGAAATATTTATGAAATATGAATAGTACTTAGTCAATAATGAAATTTGTTTATGGCGCCTTTTTATCTTGATCACAGATAAAGAATTGCTTATTGCGCAGATTATAGAATATTGTTGTGACTACCATTTGCTATATCTGTTTTTTAAGGTTTGTCTTGTTTCGATAAATTTTATTAATCTCGGAGAAAATTATTTAGCGATTAAAGAGGCATAAGATATTAACGCGCGAGGAAGTTTCTAACTTTAACTTGCGAGTACAGGACGCTAATACATTTCGATACGTAAAATACATATTTACCTATAAGATATTCATATCTTAAAATATTGTATATAGGCTGGCACTGACTTTGAAAATACCTGATTAGGTGTCTATTCTAAATGAAAACCTCCGTTTCATTATTTTTTACATTTTAGTGCCTGGAAGTCGGTTTTTTAAGCTTTTATTTTTCCATTTTTAGTGTAGACGTAATAAACAGGTAATTTTTAAGAAGAAACTTTTTTATAACATATTCGATTTAACCATTTTATTTATAAAATATATTTATTGTAGATTTTTTTAAAAATCGCTCGATCGATTTTGATAAAATATATATGGGACCACCTGGGAACTACCCTTTGAAACGAGAACGTTATTCATAAAAAAAAAACAGGATGAAGTATTTTTGATGTTGAAAATTTTTTTTACCGGTTTCAGAATATTTCCGATTAGTACATCCCTAGTTTTCTTACCATTTGCTGTCGTCTTTACGTCTAATGCGGAGAAATGTCAAAACAATATTCTCTAAATTTTGTTTTACCATTTTTACTTATTGATACTTAACTACGATTTCATATTCTTTAGTATATTTTCATAAAAACTGTCATTAGGATAGTAAAAGAGGTTAATTGAAATACATGTGAAATCTAGATCAAGCTCTCTTTGTTATTTTTGGTATACTATTTTTGTCCGCTCTACATTCGCTGATTCGGTGCATTGGAATATATTTTGACATCTACGAAAGAATGTCTTCTTACAAGGTGAGTAATTTTAGCTTAATTGCTTATATCATTAAAGTATAATTAATGCGGCAACACATATTTCTAGTCCACTTCTTTCAAGGTATTCGACGTTAAAGTTAGCTATATACGTACACATGTGTAACTTTTGCAGTAATTTATTCATTAAGCGAATACAAATACGTTTATTTCTTTAGTTAGCTATATATGTGATTAGCAAGTATTAAAATTCACACATGCTGTTAATTATATATTTCCTCTACAGCAAGTATAATATTAATTTGAAATTGTGTGATTAAACTGAAATAACTACAGTTCAGTGTTTATTTTGAAATTGACTTTATAACTTTATACCCAATACAAAGGATAAACAGTAATTATAATTTTAATATTTTGATAATAGTTAAATTAAAGTTTCTTAGCACTACACTAGAATTGTTACAAGTTACTATATAGAAAAATGTTAATATTATAGATATTTGTATTTGGTTTTACAGAAAATAATAATTATTCAAAAAAAATTCTTATCAAAATCTTAGAATTTGTAAGTCTAATTAGCTAGGAATGATAAAGTACAAGTTATTATTGGTACCATTGCTGTGTTTGCATATTTCATATATTTGATATTAAATGACTAATGTTATATATTGTGTCCTATTAGTTACTATTCATATTTACATTCATTACTGTTAATACTTGTATTATTTTTTATACATTGCTTGTATACATAATATGTATATGTATATTTATATTATTTGTTACATATTTCTATAGAAGCTTTGGTTGTCATATAGTTAAATATATGTAGGATCCAGGCATACAAATAAAATTGTCTATAACACACCAACTATTTATTTTATTCAAACTAGAGAAAACAATGTTTATGTGTATTGTCATGCCGCCGTTATGACAAAACATCCTCCGTTTATTTTATTCATCTTTTATTCCATTGATCTCTCAAAATCACATCGTATGTTTCTCTTAAAATATAATTTCACGCATACTCATCACACAAAACCCACATAATTCATGGCAATTATTTTAAAACCTTTTCAGTTATAAAACAATAAATATATTAAAAATTTATATTAAAAAAGTTGAATAAACTTTTGTTTTGCACATTGTACCTATCAATAAAATTCAATAAGCATGAATCATACAGAAGAGTATTGTATTTGTTATGCCCCAACGGCTACTGATACACATTGATAGGCTAAACCTCATTTATTTACAAACTACAGATGTTAAAAATAATGAGTTGTCATGGTTACTATGGCTTGCATCTGACTCACTTTATTATGATAACTCTATGTTATCTATTGAATATTTTTTTGATATTGAGTTTTGATAATAATATTTTACTGAGATATCAATATTATTTTATGTGATCATATATTAATTTGAAATTCTATGTTGACCTAATTTAGTCTAAAAGTAGGTAACTACAAAAGTAGTATAGCATTAATACTTTCTTAGATTTACGTGAATATTTGACATTTTAAATAAAACTATCTTTTCGGATTTTGTCGCGGATTTATTTGCATTTTTGTTTCCCGACGTTTCTAATGCTTTACAGCAATCATGGTCACGGGAGAGACTGAGGTGTTAGATGTCTCTAAGGTATTATATAGTTGTTACAGACAGCCTACCCACAATTAACAAAATGAATTCAAAAAATTGAAAAATGGCACTAAAGTACCTTACAATATTTTAACTTTTAACTTTAAACATTTTTATATAATTTTAATTAGCTTTATAATTGAATATAGAATATTATTTATTTAATTTGAGCTGTTATTATTATAATTATTACAATTTTAAAATTTTTAAAAAAATATTAATTATTAATCTATGGTTATAAATATAATAATGGCAACACTAAAAACACTAAAAATGTAGATTAATAATTAATATTTTTTAAATTTTTTTAAAATTGTAATAATTATAATAATAACAGCTCAAATTAAGTAAATAATATTCTATATTCAATTATAAAGCTAATTAAAATTATATAAAAATGTTTAAAGTTAAAAGTTAAAATATTGTAAGGTACTCTAGTGCCATTTTTCAATTTTTTGAAATCATTTTGTTAATTGTGGGTAGGCTGTCTGTAACAACTATATAATACCTTAGAGACATCTAACACCTCAGTCTCTCCCGTGACCATGATTGCTGTAAAGCATTAGAAACGTCGGGAAACAAAAATGCAAATAAATCCGCGACAAAATCCGAAAAGATAGTTTTATTTAAAAAAATAGTATAGCATCAAGCGAATGATTGCAAAATTAGTAATATTTTGTTATGGTATATACAAAAGATTATATCCTTACTAATGTTATAATTGTGGGCCAGTGATGTTTTACCCAAACTTGTTATTGGTTATTGTAAAAAAGTATTTTGAGTACTATCTACTTGTCTATCTACTTTAATTATAGTATCTTCTCTAAGAATTTATTCCAATTTAATAAATGATGATAGATGATGGAATAAAAAGCTATTAATCCATATGTTTTGTTTATGGGTTTAAGGTGTGCCGATCTAATAAAACACATGCTAACTTAAATTATGTGGGTGTGTAATCCTCTTTGAGTCTCTTTCCGATCTCTATAATAATTTAAAACATTATTCATCAACACTATTTATACTTCTTAGTCAGATCTTAAAATTTAATCATAGAGCATATCTGCCAAAACTAAATACTGCTTGCAGACTTCCTTAGAAAACAAAAAAAAATATGTTTATATTCCAGTATTCTATCATTAAAGTACCTGTACTGTGATGGTAATGAATTCGTGCGTGGGCATGGGGGACACGGTGCTGCGTGAGCGGTTGCCAATATTATGGAGACGTATTGAGGATGCGCACTACAGTTACCTCGAAATTGACGATAGCCCTGAAAAACTTCAGCAGAAGAAGAAGCTTGAAGGTAATCAAAATATACATATTATTCCGTTTTATCTTGTATGTTGGTGGTGGGAAATAAATATAAAAGGGTCTAAACGTGCTTTTTTATTTTGATTTCCAAAGGTTTGTTTTTTCAATTTCTTAAGGTTAATTTGTTGGTTGGACTAAAGCGTGAGTTCGGCTCGCTAATATACTACTATTACCGTTGTCACGTACAACAACGGTACATTTTAACGGTTAATATGGGATAGATAGACTTTTTTTTAACGTTGGGAAATGCGTAAGCACGAGGTGTGGGACTCACCGGCAAAGCCAGTACTACCCACTAAAACCCAACAAAACCTTCCCCCGTCTTAAAGGGGCGTCGCAGGATCGCTTACGTATTCAACTACGACGTCCCGACGGCAGGTCTGCCGAAGTAGACCACAACAACCATTGGGTTGCTCCAAGGTCCACTCTGCTATCAGAAAAGTACCAGCAGCAACCCGCATGGTACACCGCCCCCCGAAGAGGGCCACCTATGGGATAGAAAGACTATATATTATTATTGCTTTCTCAATAAACGGGTTACCGGGTATAAACGGGTTAAAAACGGGTTTTCTAATGCAAAAAGAATGTTTAAAATCGGATTAGTAGTTCCTGAGATTGGCGCATTCAAACAAACAAACAAACTCTACCTCTTTATAATATTATATGGTATATACCTAATAGTATACATTAAAGAAATTCTTAGTAATAATCCATAGATAAAAAGAAATGTGTATTTGTATGTGTTGTATTTTTGAAAACATAAAGATATTGCTGCTTTTGATTCTTTGGTGGTCTAGATTCGTCATCCTCCTACATCCAGACATTGTTTATACTAATTATCGTATTACGTAGTTCCATACGTTTTAGGAACATACATACGTAGTTGGCTAGTCTCAGTAAGACGAGCCGATGCGACAGGAATAAGTTGAAAATATTAGTAAATATGTATATTACATATAATTTTGGAGATAATTTTAAACATTATATGTATGTCTTTTTTAAAATAACGGCAACTTCGTAAATAAACTTTTCAAATATCTTAAAATTACTTATTCTTTATTTTTCTATCTATTTTTAACACGTCTCTGATGTTAGTTGGTATTGTGTGATACATTTAATTAAATTTTACTATATTTTGCAAAAAACATTGCTTACAACAATATATCTCATCTCGTTTCAGGATATATTCTCGAATATCTCACACTAGTGCCTCACGAATGTAAGTTTGGTTTAGCAGAAACAGGCAAAGTGTTTCAGCGGACGATCAACGAATTGCCAGAGTTCAGCGCGTACAGAGCCGGTATAGGATGGGCGGCCATTGCCAGGTATGCCGGCAACCTCCTGGCACAACCCTGGCGGAAGGAGTATAGGGTTATACGAGTGAGTATTGAGGATGTTTTTTAATTATTATGAATGTCGATGATTCAGTCTTTAGGTTTTTTTTATTTAAAAAATGATGGCTTTACGCGTCTTTTGAAATTGGACTTAGTTTTTAATTAAATAGCATCTCATTTATAGTATTCGGAAATAAAAATGCAGTCAGTATAGTATTTATTTATTTATATATTCCACTGGCAACAGTGGAATATATAATTGTCCACGCGTTTCAGTTAAGCTGATTATAAAATGCTGCTAAAATTTAAATATGAAGGGCGCTCCTTAATATTTTCACACGAAGTTATAAGCAGAAGTTAGTAAAACAAACCTATTTTATGAATAATTGCAATTGGAACTGTTTTTGACGTTTTATTGGCATATTTTCAATTATTATTAGGGCTAACGTGTGTACATATTTTTTTAAATATTTTTACAATCGCCATTATATTTTCTATAATAGAAATTTAATTTCACAAAGTCGCTATAATTTATTAATTTGTCACATGTTACTATTTTTCTATTGAAAACCAACACTAAGTCGATAGTCGGGCATTATATCTGTTCTTGGTTTATATTTAGCCGTAAAGCCACTTCGAGATTAATACTCCACTAAGTAATTGTATCGATTTTAAATAATAAATAACCTGCAATCTCGCGGTATTCATTGTGAATGCATCCATGTATGACTACGTATCTATTGTCGTCGTGTTGTATTCAATTTGATTTTGTTTTCAATCTATTCAATAAACCGTATAAAACAGCCCAACTCTTTATTCTACGAGCTCTCTATATATCATATACTAGCGACTTACCCTAGCTTCGCTCGGGTGCGTCCCTAGCGTTTTAATGTTTTTGAGCGGAACCCTAGTTATTTTACTAAAATAAAATAATAAAATAAATAGCCTATGTTACTTCTTATAACATCAGCTATCTGCTGGTGAAAGTCACGTCAAAATCGGTCCAGCCGTTTCGGAGATTAGCCGGAACAAATAGATAGACAGAAAAAAAATTTAAAAGTTGTGTTTTTCGTATAAGTACCGTATATAATTTCATATGGATTTAGTAAAAAGCTGTTATTATGTGCTCAATTCAATATAATCATGAAATTAGCGACACCTACTCGTCTTTGTCAGGAATGTGTTTCTTTCAACCTCATTAAAGCCGGCTTTAGTTTCAGACGTACTTACATGACGATGTACAGTTAAAGTAAATTCTAAATTGATTATTTAAAAAAATGTGGAAAAGTTTATTTGAATATAATAAAACTAGCGACTTACCCTCGCTCCGCTCGGATTCGTCTATACATACGTTTTGACGTTTAGTACAGATTTCTCAGAGATGAGATATTTTCCCGCAGTAAAAAGTATCCTATATGTTGACTCGGATAGGCAGCTATTATCATAACAAAATTTCATTAAAATCCCTACAGTGGTTTTTCCGTGATGCGTTTACAGACAGATAACAATTCTAAAAACTATAGATTCGTCCTGTGTATCGATAATAATGTCTATTTCAATAAGATTTTCCAAAAAAAATTTAACGTACAGAGGCTCGGTTACAATTTTATTATATGTATATATTTGCATAGTATTCGTTTAATCATTTAAATTGAACTGAACTGTTAATATTTGAAATTGGAATGACAATACAACATTTTGATATCATTAAACTGACTGCTCATCAGATCAGATAAATGAGGACCAATACTATGTTGGTATAGAATTTGATAGTAAGGGTACTTCTGAAATATCAATAATGATTGAAGAAGCGTATGTCACTTAAGTAAGATATTAAAGGTATTGGTAGCCCAGTGGTAACACGCTCGAAATCCGAGTGAACGGGTTCAAATTCTGAATCATTTCCAACATCATTACATCTTCTCTTACGGTGAAGGAAATCTAGCAATTTTTCGAAAGACATGTGAAATGCGGGTTCATGTGGCCAGCGTGGTAGACTATGCCCTGATCCCCTCGCATTGAAGGGAGGCACGGTACCCAGAAGCGAGACTTTCAAAACAGCTCAAAATATGTCACTCAAGTGAGATATTAGTTTGTAATCTTAACTAATGTAAGCGTCTTACTCTAATAAGAAATATAATTTTCAGCTCTACTCAGGTTTCTACAAACACGAAGTAGAATCTAACATGGTGGGTGCAGAAACAATGCTGCAGGCGATGGGTTACCGCGCGGTGGGTGCGGGTCGCCTCGCATTAGATGGACCCGTGTGTCCAGATATGGCCGCGGCTATATCTAGAGACGCTATTATAGCTCATTGCGAGTGTCAGGTTAGATGTGAATTTGTTGCTTAGTCTTATAATGTACTTAAGTAATAAATAAATACAGATTTTGATAATAAGAAAATTAGATAACAATATGAAAATTGTCATCTTTGTTTTTCATAGAAAGACACATTTTTTTTAATATAAATGAAATACACACACACACACACACACAGTCATTACTCATTATATTTATTAGATAGCGCTGTTGCTACCAAAAGCTACAAAAAGAACCAAAACATTGGACATAAATAAAAAGTTTAGTTTACTATTGTTATATTCTATTGTACAATGTTAATAAGTTACTAAAATAAAATGCATTAAAATTAGGAACAAAATTTAATGTATATATTTAATAATAACATATTTTAGGATTTAGGGGATTTTTTATTAGTCTACGAGCGACCGACCCTTGCTTTGCTCGGGTGCGTTCCTAGGTGCCTAACAGTGTGTCTGGATATATCTATCTGTATACCAAGTTTCATCCAAATCCGCTTAGCCCTGTTAGCGTGAAGACGTAACAAAGACATATACACAAACTTTCGCATTTATAATAGTAGTCTAGTACTAGTATATTAAATTACTAGAGTATCATACATTTTTTCGCTATGATATTATATATATATATATATATATATATATATATATATATGATATATAGCCTTATAGCCTTCCTCAATAAACGGGCTGTCTAATGCAAGAAGAATTTTTCAAATCGGATTAGTTGTTTCTGAGATTTGCGCGTTCAAACAAACAAACTCTTCCTCTTTATAATATTAGTACAGATAACAGTAATTATAATTAATAGTAGTGGTCAGACTTCAACTGCTTGTCATCCACAGATAATGTCGCAAATATGGGAAGCTGTGTGGAGTGGTGGTGCGCGCGTGTCGTGGGCGGAGATAGTGAGGGAGAGATCCGCACACGTGGCCTCAGTGACGGCGGCTGCGGCTCGCTTGAGTGGTTACACTGATGGTATGCTGGAATTATGATACAATGTTATAATTGTTAGGCTATAGATATGTACGGCTGTATATCAGCAAATCCTGGGTTTGAGTCTCGGCGTCGAGCCGTGTTTGGCTATCGAGTTTGTCTATGAAGAAATTCTGAGTAAGAAGTTAGGAAGTTGGCGGTGTTTCGCCCTCGTGCCTTCGAGAGCACGTAGCGTGTCGGTTCTGCGAATGATATCGGACCGGTCGTGACAAAGCATCGTCCCAACGAACTTTGAGCATGAAAGCAATAGAGGATGCATTTTTTCCTGTGCGTTTACTATTATGCACTTAATATCTCCTGCAGAGATGATTAGTCACGTGTATGCTAGTTATCTTACGGTATACAAATTATTGTGTATATAAGACTTCTTTTGTAGGAAAAGTCGTTTGTTTTTAATAAAAATGCAGTTATTTTGATTATCTGTTAAATTATCAACACTTTCTTTGCAGATGGCGATATTTATACGAACGTACCTGCAACAACATCAGATCCTAATCGGAGGCTAATAGACTCGCAATATCAAGTCACACCACAGTGTCACTGTTCAGAATCTCTAGAAGAACCTGTTCAACCTGTGATAAATCCGTACATGATGTCCAATATGGTTCCACCACACTTGATGTACTCCATGCAACACATAAACCCCGATATACCAGTGACGGTGCCTCAATGTAACCCAATTCCCATGATGACCCCTTATGGGCCTGTACCCTATTACTACCCTGTACAAACACCATACATGATACCCACCCCCGTATACGCTCCAATAAAACATGCGACAACCATTCAAGTTAATGGATATCCTATGCCATACAGATATCCATCAGTACCAACGGCCCAATTAATAGAACTAGAAGCGCCCTCTTTATACGAAAATGGTAAATTCGAAAGGCATGAAGATAGGAATCATAGAAAAAATATGCACACAACAAAACGTACCTCGAAGTCTGCTTTTAGTGATGTGTCGATACCGAGCTTGCCAAGATCCGATACACAGCCAACTTTGAGTAAAGCGAAGGAAGACGGTATGGGGACGTATGAAAGTTGGGACTATGTGTTTCGGAACTTGTCAAGTAAAGAACAGGACGGGGATAGTAGAAGTGGTTTTTCACAATCGTTGGACAGAGATTCTAGAACGCTTGACAGATTAGATAGAGAAGAAAGGAGATCCAAATATCAACCAACAACCCTTGATTTAGAGGATGGTCTACAAGCGTTAAACCTTGATAGATCTTATGATGAAGAAATATACAGGACAGCAAAAGTAAATGAGAATCTGATGAGGTTAAAATTAGAACAGGAACAGAAGAAGGCTAGGCAGCTAGCAAAAAAATATCCTGATGATAGGAAGCCTAAGAAATCTTTAGAACCCATTGGTAACCCAAAGGCAGATGGTCTAGTCACACAGAAGGTGGCACCAGATAAAGTGAAACTATTAACTAAGAAGGAGATAAAAGATAGAAAAGATATAATTAAACAACAAAATTCGGTGAATGGTTCTGTGCCAAATACAGCTGAAGTTAAAAAAGTGAAAAAGCCAACGAAGCTAGTTGCAGTTGAAGTGGACAAGACGAAAACCAAGCCAGTGGAAAATGGAGTACACAAATCTGGTCACAGCACCAGAAGTACAGTGGGTAAGTTACATTCTAATCGTTTTGAGATTAGTTTTGGGTAATGAATAAAATTAAAAACATTGTTTATCTATTTTTTTATAATTTCCAAATGTTTGCTTTTATTATTAGGCTTGTTTGTTTAATGGAGTCTTTAATTGTATTATGAAACATCATTATATTTAAAAAAAAAATGTGCGTGTAACCTTTACGCGTGATTGAAGTAAAACTTCTTTGACGTTATGGCAATTAAATTAAAACAAATCAAAATATGTATAAATATAATAATATTTTTTATAAAATTATTAGTAGTAAATATTCATTTTTATAAGTAATAATTATTATATATATATATATATATATATATATATATATATATATTTTAATTATTAATAGTATATTATACTGTTACTTCCGCGACACTCATTTTTCCAAGATATTGACTTACCTATTAGTCACGCCTGAAGAAGTTTTACTTCAAATTATATAACTATATATGTGGCTACTGAGATTAGGGACATTTTATAAGTTGCGATGTGCAGATATGTTGTTTGTTTTCTCTAATTTTGGAATAAAACACTTTTTTTATTATTATGATTTAACTATATACATAGTTATATTGCATAAAGAATGTTTTTGAATATACTTTCATTAAAAAATCAATTATTCACATAATACTCACAAATGGTTTATTTTCAGTACCCACCAATCACCAAGCGAACTACGACATAAAGGCGCAGCTAGTGGTTTCACTCGACGAACCGGACTTTATACGACGATCGCCACCGAAAAACCAAAATGGCGAACGTGAAAAAGACCGTGAACGCGAACGTGAACGTGAACGTTCTTCGAGCCGAGCGAGCACCCATGACACCAAAACCGACAAATGGCAGTGCGGTACGTGCACATATCTTAACAAACAGTCTGCAATAGCGTGTGAAATGTGTGGAAAGTCTAAAAAGGGGCCAGAAATTGAACCCCTTACCTCCGGTGGACGAGAGTGTCCCGTGTGTACACTAGTCAATAAGAGAGACGCTACTACGTGTGACGCGTGTGCATCGAGTCTAGAACATTGCCCTACATATATATAAATTTGATATATATTGGACTATACAGAACTGAGTGAGGCTAATTGGACTATTTTTTTTGGACTAAATGCTTTTTTTAACCGACTTCTTTGGAAGTGTGAATTTCTATGTTCGTCTGTATGTTGTTTTTTATTTTTTTTTCTTCAAGTGAAAGTAAGACTGGTAACTTGCTTATTCGAAAGTATAGGCTTTATTTGTTTTATTTTATTATGTATTGTAATGTCATATTTATAGCCTTAGCTATGTATATAGCAAGTGACGTAGGCCTATGTAACTTTTTAATTTATTATATTTAATGTGTTTGTATACGTTATAAAATGACTTTTTTTATTAATAATATTTAGAAAAGAACATTTTTTCCTACAACATTATGTTTGTTTGTCCGAATCTTAATTTTTGTTTGACCTTGTCAATTATATAGGACATTCCTACCACATATAGATATTAATTGGCTCACTAACTTAGTACAATTGAATAACATATGATAGACTTTTCCAGAATATTTTTTATAACACAAGTTTATTTTATTTAACCTTGTAAGGTATGCCATAGTCCAGGAGCCCTTAGCGTAAAGGCCTAATCTACATTTTTGCTAATAACTTATGTATACATCATTGTCTGTAATTCTTACAGATTTACAAATAAATCTAATATTTGCATATATTTCAATTAATGTAATGTATATATAAATATATGAGTATGTTATTTATTTTATTATTTGACATGATTATTTAGATAACCTGCATAATTGACTTTAAGAAAAAAATAAAAGGCCTTTTTGTTGTTTTGATAAAAAAATCTACATCATTATTTATTTATTTAAAATAAAAGAGAACATTCAAATTTAAAGTTTTGTAAACAAAGATAAAAATCACTATTTTTGCTGGGGCATAATGCATGGGGCAAGATATTGGGCCTCATGACATTGGACATATGGGGCACTATATGAAGAGTTACGACAGCGGCATTCTTTACAAGTTTAAATATTCATAAATATCTACTAATACAATATAAAAACGTTATCTATTGTAATAATTACTATAAATTATTATTTATTATATGCATATATAAATTAACAAAAAAGTTGTTTGTACAACCCTACATATGTACAATGTTTATGTAACAGCCCTATTGACATTTTTTATCTGTTTAGATATTCGCTTATTTTATAAATGCATAAAATAAAATAATAAAGGGTATTGTAATGATTTAAAGTCAAATCAAATAAGGTGTTTTAATTCGATTTTTAATGTTTCTTCCTTAGAGTACATTTGAAAACTCTATATTAAAAGGAAAATATCTTAAATGTTATTGCTACATTGTTAATATGGTGAAAAAGTATTTGTATTAAATAAATAAAATTATGAGAAATTATTGTCAGATTAATTTATATTTTTGACTTTATTTCATTATTTTTATCGCATTTGCTCAGTTTTTCGTTTATAATTAACTCAAGAGTGCCAGATACAGGTTGGATCTATCTATCATCTATCTATTTATATGTTGTATTGTAGTATAACTTATGTTATTTATAACTCGCTTTAACACAGGGTAAGAAAATAATATATTTGGTTTTTGTTTTTTTTTTAAATTATTATATTTATGGATACGATTCTAGGATATACCTTCTAGGATGTAGATGAGTATATGTTTAATATGTAGAATGATTCATAATTATCATAAATTATAGAGGGATACGGTTATGCCAATTTATGCTTGCTTTTGAACTTGACAAGGTCAATTGTAATAAAATGTTATTAATTAATAATAAATAAAAGATACAAATGATGTATATTGATTTTATGAAAAAAAAATAGTGCGTGAAATTTTTAAGCGCGATCGAAATAAAACTTCTATTTGGCGCTGTGGCAGATATGATAATATAAATATAATATTTTTTATGAAATTAATAATAATAAATATATTATTTCTATGAATAATAGTAAATTATTATATATATATATTTTTTTTTTAAATCAATATATGTATGTATATAAAACAAAGTCGGGTTTGTTACAACATTTATAACTCGAGAACTGCTGGACCGATTTTCATAGCTTTTGATTTGTTAGATTTGTCTCCGCCTCGAATAGCAAAATCAGTTTTAAAACATCGGAAAATCTACGAAAAAAAAAATGAAATAAAATCTATGCCGTGCTAAGCGTCAAAACTAAAAAAACGTGAAAAATAAATTAGATTGTCACTTCCGCGACACTCATTTTTCTAATGTATTGACTTACCCATCAGTCATGCCTGAACAAGTTTTACTTCAAAAACAGTAAAAAATAAATATCAAGATTTATTTATTTAAAATTTATTGAGATTCAAATAAGCAAATGTTGGCATAATATTAAATTTATTCTAGATATAAAATCTTAGAATCGTGCCAATTTTAGATATACATATATAATGTTAAATTTATCATGAAATTGCATTATCATCATGGTGTTCAGTTATTCGCCTTCAAAATGCTTTAATGTTAGTCGCTATACGACGTCTCGTTTTCTTTTTTGTTAATATAATATGAATAATATATAAAATTATTTAGTATTTGTATATAGTTGTTAGAATCTGTAAATAACTAGAAATTAACATAAATAACATATATATATATATATATATATATATATATATATATATATATATATATATAACTTGTCATTATTATTGTATAGTAATGATGCAATTAAATATAGGAGTCATCATTGTCGGTGCATTTGTTAAAGCTATAAGTAATTTTATTGTCACAGTTTACAAAGTAACGATGTATCATGCACTGCGAGAGTGAAACATGTTGTTAAATGTGCTGAATTTGGATCTTTTTAAATATAGATTATATTATACATTAATTCAATAGAATATTTAATGATACTTATGGTTTATTTAAACAAAAAAATATATATAATATAAATAAAATTTGTTATAAGTGTTGAAATACTAAAGCATAATTTATTTTGAAAATCATTTAGATACTATTTTAATGAACACTAACAATGTGTTTCTCTCTTAACTATACGAATAGCAGTCATAGTATAGTGTAAAGCACTGAGGACGTGTATTTTTTTAAAAATAATGTAGATTTTGTGAAAAAATTTTTAATGAATATATTCGTGCTTTAGATTGAGTTGCCTTCGTTTGTTGGATAAATGATAACTGAGACGGTATTCTGATAGAAGAGATTATGTATTAAAAGAATAAATTACTATTGTTTTACCAAAAGCTTTCTTTCATTTTTTATCCCATCATTAATAATGAAGTTAAGAAGTAAAAAATAACCAAACGGGGTTTTTCAGTTAGAATAGATATCTAATCAGGTATTTTAGAAGTCGGTGCTAGCCGATACAAATCGGAGCACACTGACTTCGAAAATATTTGATTAGGTATCTATTCTAAATGAAAACTCCAGTTAGTTATTTTTTACTTTTTAGTGCCTGGAAGTCAGTTTTTTTAAGTTTTTACTATTTTTCGCCCGCCTCTCCGCTCAGGTGGCATGTTGATTAAATTATTTTATTCGTGAACTACTTACGAACACGCCATTGACTTTAGTTTATGTAAAGTATAGGAAAGTGTCTTCGATAGTGAATCAAATGTGAAGGTTTTACTAGAAGTCATTGAAAATTTCTATTATCTGCCTTCTGGCATCACCTTCAGACCAGCAACAAATAATTGTAATTTCATTTGTACTTCACATTTTTGCTAGGTTTTACCTTTTTTTTTACTATTTGACCTTTAGCATGGTTATTCTCAATCAACTTAAGTGTCTGAAAATGAATATAAAATATCTTGTAGTTATTTCAAAGTATCTGTTATATATATATATATATATGTAAAGTTCATATTTTTAAGGTTATTTAAGTAATATCCGTTTGCACCTCGTAATATCCAGAGGGGCTTAACTGATGTTAACTTTCATTGAAAAGCAAAAGATTTATGCGCAAGGATGTATGCTTATATCTTGGGATATGAAAGGATATCCGCAGGATAGAAGTTTTACGAGATATTGCGAGTCACATCCAACATCGCGAAGACCATGTTGAAGAGTAATTAAATATTTGTTGAAATATTTGTGAAGTCCGTAAACTTGCACTTGGTGGACTATGGCCATATCCTTGCATTGAGAGAGGATCTGGGGGCGTAAAAAAGGTGAATATTCAATTTTTATATTATATATGTCAACGTCGTTAATACTAAGTACTTATACTTATTACCCGTATTTGAAGATCTAAGATTATTTAATTAAATATTAATAAAGGAAATATTCCTTTGTAATCTTACTTTTAAGTGTTTCTTGAAACTATTCTGTAGGAAAACCGCAAAAATATACGATTTATTTTTATCGATAATACAACTGTTTACATAAAAATGCATATGTTATTAAAGGTTATTATGTAATTAATATACAAGTAAACGATTCTGAAGAACGATATTTAATAGTTAATAGGAATTCGAAAACGCTAATGCGGCTTTCCTTGTTCAACATATGAACTAGAATGCATAGCATAATATTGTACTTAGCATTTTATGTAGCGCTATTGATCCCCTCTCGCTTTGATAGCTCTACTAATATTAATAAACTAGCGACTCACCCTCGCTTCGCTCGGGTTCGTCCCTAGGGTATGTATACGACTTCCCTATTTGAATCGAATATTATTAAATTTTTCATTGGTTTTAATTTTTTTCGTGGGACCCTATTTTTTTCTAAAATAAAAGTAGCCTAAGTTACTCCTTATTACATCAGCTATCTGCCAGGGAAAGTCTCGTCAACATCGGTTCAGCCATTTCAGAGATTAGCTGGAACAAACAGACAGACACAGACAAAAATTGTAAAAAATGCTGTTTTGGTATATGTACTTATTTGATGTATGTATTCGTCCATATGCATTTAGTAAAAAACTGTTATTTTGACATTACAAACAGACACTTCAATTTTATTTATCTGTATAGATATACTAATATTTATAAATATTTTTATTTATGTGAAAAAAAGTTTAAATAAACTACAATACTCTATCACTAAGTTGAATTCTCATGATTATTAACTTCTAATTTAATTAAAAATTAAAGAAAAATGCATTCGTTTTTATGCTTATGCATTCATAGCTTGTATTTTTATGCATTTGCATTAGTATTAACTAAAGTTTTTAATTCTGCATAGAAAAAAGCCGGTAGTCTCTTCAAAATGAAGCCACTCACAAACATTCAACCTGATTGCTTGTGTAGTATTATGTGATCACTATCAGCACAGACCAAAGTGCTGATCGTGATCATCTTTAAAACAGTAGTTTAAAAACATTTTACGAGCGCAGGACTGGGAAAACGCACCATTCAAATTGCAGGACAATGTCATTAAAGTCATTAAATTGTGTAAGTAAATACTAGCGACTCACCCTCGCTTCGCTCGAGTTCGTCCCTAGCTTGCTTCCCCATACAAACTTTCATCCCCATTTTCATCCTCTTAAGGGAAGATTTCCGGGATAAAAACTATTTTACTAACTCAGTTTTCATACCATGAGATTTTAAAAATTCTTTTAATATTCTTCTATACGAAACTTCCTGACAATAACAAACAAAAAAAAAGAATTATCCAATTTTGTGCGGTCGATCGCAAGTTATGCGCGTACATAAATTTCGGTGATTCATTTTTATTTATATAGATTAATTAACCAACAGTAAAAATAAGGTGGTTAGTAATAATTTATTCGGATTATCGGAGATTTGTTATCATGTTTTACACCTGTGCCTTTTTTTACTTCTACCGTTTACAACTTTCTATAACTATCAAAGAAAAAAAAGTTGGTTATCTCGTCAAAACGAAGCTACTCACGAAAACTTAGCTTGATAGTAGTCATTTTTTTAGGGTTCCGTACCTCAAAAGGTAAAAAAAGGAACCCTCATAAGATCACCCTCTTGTCCGATTTTCTCAGGAACGGGTACTAGCAAGTTGAAATTTATACCAGATACTGAGGTCTATTAGGTGTATAAAAATCAAGATCCTGAGTCAACACGATAAAAAGATTTGGGCAAATTTAGATTTTCGTGAAAACTTGTAAGTACCAAAATTTACCTTAACTTTCCACTTTTTTATTTTTCAGAATTTTCCCCTTACTTGTGCTGTAAGGCCTTGCTTTTAACAAAAATGGACAATTCTAGGTCAACCGGAAGTACAGTACCGGAAGTAGGTTTTGGGTCGAAAACGTATATGGTAGTTCCCGTTGACCTACAATCACGAAATTTGGCAGAAAGCAAGGTCTTACAGCACAAATTAAGGAAAAATTCTAAAAATAAAAAATGTTGACAATAATTAAAGTTAAACAGATTTCCTACAAAGTACGGAATCCTCGGTGTGCGAGTCCGACTCGCACTTGTCCGGAATTTTTTAAAATGGCTTTAAGTATCACTGACTACTCATTTTATTATGATTAACATAATCAGAAAAAACATAATTTTTTTCACAGCACTATTTTATGAAGCTTGGTTAAATCCAATGCGAAATAATATATTTTAGTGCATATTTTATATTCAAAAAAACTTGGATTGTCAAATGTTAGAGGCACAATCAAAACAAAGTTATTTTTGGAGTAGCTGGATGCAAGTTTCAGTGACATAAAATGAAGCGAAGCACACTATAAAAGCTTAGACAACACATACTACATACATACATACATATACTATTACATATTGTGATTGTCATTTTGTTCTATAATATTCAATTAACATTAATATCTTTAATACATAGTTATACGCGTTTATAACGCACAACCTGTTTAGAATTATTTGAAAACGTCAAATATAATTATATTCTTTAGGGCTCATATGAGGGCTGACAGTAATATTATATTCATATTAAATATTAGAATATAATAATAATTTAGACCAAACATTCAATGTTTTAGTTTGAAGTTTGATTTTAGAGCCTATTTGATTTAAAATTTTGCTCTCGTGCTTATAAAATATGTCCTAATTTATTTTATTTAGGAAAGATAATTTAAACACCGTTTACATAATTTTTATTTTCATTTAATTTTAACGTTTATAAATATCACAATGTTCTACTTAAATAATAACCTAATAGTGTCCTTGGCTGTATCCTCCATGTCCATGTCCACCATGGCCGTAGTCTCCACCGTGGCCGTAGTTTCCACCATGGCCGTAGTTTCCACCATGGCCGTAGTTTCCACCATGGCCATAGTCTCCACCATGGCCGTAGTTTCCACCGTGGCCGTAGTCTCCACCATGGCCGTGGTCTCCACCATGTCCGTAGTTTCCACCATGGTCGTGGTATCCGCCATGGCTTCCGCCATAACTACCATCATCATAGCTACCATGACCATGGCCGCCTCCAAAGCCCGCGTCTCCACCGAAACCTCCGTGGCTGCCGTGACCAGTGCTATGGCCTCCAAATCCTATGTCGATACCGAAACCTCCGTTGTTACCCTCATGACTACCACCGTGGACTCCCTTAAGGCTTTTACCCTTAACGCCTTCATCGATGCCTGCACTGACCTCCGCACCGACGCTTGCACTATGTTCTTCACTAATGCCTCCACGAATGTCTCCACCGATGCTTGCACCTTGGTCTTCTTCACTACTGCCTCCACCGATATCTGCGGCTTTGTCTTCACTAATGCCTGTATCGATGCCTGCACCGTGTTCCTCACTAATGCCTCCACCGATGCTTGCACCGATGCCTGCGCCTTTGTCTTTACTTATGTCTCCACCAATGCCTGCCTCGATGCCTGCACTGTCACTGCCTTCAAAACCGCTGTCGTGACCGTGATTGTCATGGCCATGTCCGAATCCTGCACCAATCCCTGCGCCGTATCCTATAAAAGAATTTGAATTTAATTGTACAATACTTAAAAATTACACACATATAATGTTTAAATTTTTAATGGACTAAATTATAAATATCTCTATCGCGAATGTAAACTAGTTTTACTTTTCTTTTATGTTGATTGATAATGGTGTAATAAAATAAATAAAAAAAATCGGGTTCGGACGGATAGACACGAATTCTTACACAATCATCACAGGGTTTGTTAACCCATTTGTGAGCACAACTTGTCGCGGTGAGGAGGCTAATTAGTCAGTCGGTAATACAGTCGGGCGTGAAGCCAAGACACACAGTGGGAGGAGACTCACTTCGGTGGGCGGTCTACCATGTGGGTTGCTTTTGGTACTTCTCTGATAGCAGACTGGATCGAGGGAGTAACCTTGGTTGTGTGGTCTGCTTCGGCAGACCTACCATCGGGGCGTCGTAGTTGAGTGCGTAAGCGATCCTGCGACGCCCCATTAGGACTGGGGGAGGTTCTTTTTGGTTTTAGTAGGTAATACTTGCTTTTCTGGTTGTTGAGTCCCACATAACCATCTGTATGTATACAGGTGATATGCGTAATTGCATTTCCCAACATTTAAAAGAAATGTTAACGACTTTATAAGTAGCTCTATCGGTCGGCTTGAACAAAAAGGTTACTTCGGTTTAAAGAACTTTATTTCTCATTACGAACAAGTCTTTTACATGAGAAACATATATAAAGATATAGGAAATTATGACAGTTGATCAGTAGAACTGGGAACATTAGTTACAAAGAATATATTTATATAACCTAGACTTAAAGTTTTGAAAGTTTTTGAATTTTTTATTTCTTTCGGTAAACTGTTATAGAGTTTTGCTCCCTCAAAAGTTATAGTTTTCTATCCAGACTTGGTTCTAGTAAAGGTGTAGTAGTAAAGTACTTAGAAACATCTATCTTATTGTAAAGATCTACTTAGTTACTTACTTACTAGTTACCCCAGCGTTTCGTTCATCCCTCATTTAAATGAATGGAGAGCGACACTTTTTTTCTATTCTTCGTAGTTTAAGTACTGAATTGTATATTCCTCTACGGCTCACATGAGACAATTGCCTAGTTCAGTAATATAGCTCCAATAGTATCGAGCAAAATAGGCTTAAAACATTTATTTTTTCCTTTAAGCTACGGAAAATTTAATTTTATATCTATACATATAATAAAATTGTAACTAAGTCGAATCTGTACATTTAATATTTTTGGGAAATCTAATTGAAATAGACATTATTATCGATACAGAGTCCGAATCTATAGTTTTAAGAATTTTTGTCTGTCTGTCTGTCTGTTATTGCGTCACGAGAAAACCACTGGACAGATTTTGATGAAATTTGGTATGATGATAGCTGGTTATCCTGGTCAATATACAGGATTTAATTTCTTAGACAAAATATTTTTCGTTGTCTTTATTTCTTGTACAAAGGCCATGCATTTATACATATAATAAAATTGTAAATAAGCCGAATCTGTACATAAAATATTTTTTGGAAAATTTTATTGAAATAAACAATTATAATTATCGATACAGGGGCCGAATCTATAGTTTATAGAAGTTGTCTATCTGTCTGTCTGTCTGTTACTGCATCACAGAAAATCCACTGGAGAGATTTTCATGAAATTTGGTATGGTGATAGCTGGTTATCCGGATCAACATATAGGATACTTTTTACCGCGGGAAAATGTCTCATTTCTGCGAAAAATACAAAAACTACAATGTAAGAGAATACCTACTAATATGTAAAACCTAAGAATTTGGTTTTTGGTCATCTGAACGCGGGCGGAGCCGCGGGTAATGCTAGTTTATGTATAAGGTTTATTAAAATTTATAATATTCGTACCTGGATACGCCGCAGCTACCGCGACTAGCGCTAATGTTACAATCTGGGAAAAAAATAGAGAATCTTATTTAAAATAAATAAAATAACGAATTATGTAAAATAAATTTTTAAAAGTGATTAAATATTTAAGTTTAATTTATTATCTTTTATCTAATACTAGCTAAGTTGCTTCGCTTCTAAGGGTTGTAGCGGTGTCAGCCTATAATTTTGTTCAATAAATAGGCTTTAAAATGCATTTTTTAAATCTGACTGGTAGTTTATACACTAGACCGTTTAGACAAACGAAACTATTTTCAGCTTTACATTATTAATTCAAATTTTTATTTTTGTTACACTTAAGTTTACATACAGTTATTTTATACACTTAAGTTTTAGTAGAAAAGTTATATTATCTATTTAATATTAAAATTTAAAAATCATGTAAATTGATATTTCTTACTTACCAAAATCCTGGCCATTTTGCGAACTGTATAAGTTACAAGTATGTCTACGGCTATCTCACAAATAATTCCAATTTTAACCCCTTCGCGTCTTATATACGTTATGATCGGACGCGCTCCATCTGACCTCATAATACCCGATTTTGTCAATAATAAAGTTCCAGTTAAACTTTTTATGTCGATATTTTACAAAACGTCTAAATCTTCTGATATTTTTTAAGAAATTTATTTTTGTCTATTTAAAACTGCATATAATTGGTTTGTGCTTAATACTGTTCTTTTAATATATCTATTTTGGTTCATAATAGGGATATTTAATTTATTTCTTTTATATAAAGTAACATTTTTTTAATATATTTTTTAATATAAATAATTATGATGACGATGTTCTCCTGATCGATTCTGGCCACGGCGGCCAATCTCATTGAGACTAGCCAACTGCGCAGGAGATATTATAGTGCACAAGTGTACGCGCAGACACAACGTGCACTCTTTATTCCTGTCACTCTCATACTCCGGTGGGACGACTGCTCGATACGACCGGTGAGAGTTAAGGCGCAGGACCGACGGCTTTACGTACTCTCCCAGGCACGGGGGTGAAACATCGCCAACTTCCCAACTCCGGGCTATTGCTGAGGCTTACTATACAGAAAGACTCAATAACTAAACTTGGCCCGACCCGGGACTCGAACCCAGGACCTCCGGTGTGCAGCCGTACATGCTAGCCACTACACCACCGAGGCAGTAATAAGTAATATAAATAATAAGGCTAGGTTGACATATTCTTATTATTTTCAACCGACTTCAAAAAGGAGGAGGTTCTCAATTCGACTTTATTTTTATTATAAGAATTGCTTTCAACTATTTAAATCTAGCAGCTGCAAAAATGAAAAAAAAGTCAAGTTTAAAAAAAATTGTTGTGCAAATATATTTCATAATAAGTTTTGTGAGGACAAGTCCTGTGATTTTTATATACATACATACTAGCGGCTCACCCTTCGCTTTGTTAGGGTTCATCCCTACGTACGTTTTATCTGTTAGTATGGAATATATAGACTATATACTATAGGATATATATCCTATATCCTTCCTCAATAAACGGGCTATCTAATGCAAAAGGAACTTTTCAAATCGGATTAGTAGTTCTTGAGATTAGCACGTTTAAACAAACAAACTCTGCTTCTTTATAATAGTAGTATAGATTTTGCCATAAAATCCGCCGCATTAAATATTAAGAATTTAACATTATCTTAATATCGAGTTATTGTTTTAACGTTGAAGTGCTGTACAATATCCGTGGAAAGAATTTAAAACTCACATAAGATTAAAAAACTGGCTTAGGCTTTGCAAAATGTAATCTTTATCGAAGTCGAACTATAGATACTAATTTTAATATAATTAAGAGGTGATGTTTGTGCCCTTGTAGAAGTTAAACTCCCGAACTGCAATCCTAAATGTAAGTACAAAAGGCCTGGTTTACATATTATGCTTTTATTCTTGTAGTCCTCGAGTAAATGATATAAAATGAAAAACTTACTAAACGGTAGGTATAATATTAAATTAATATGTAGGTACACATACATTGTAAATACATTTTAATCAGCATTACAAGCCGTATAATATGCTAATATGTAATTTTAATGCATTATACAGATTTATGACTAAGTATGTTTATTTTAGTTTAAGTTTAAAGTACCACAACACAGTTATTTTAAATAAATACGTATTTTTTTGTTTCACTATAACTCAAATTAGATATAGATGTTATACTCGGAAATCTAAGGAGATTGTTAATCAGGTTATGCAAATAATATATAAACAATAATATATGAGGAACTGGTTCGTTTATCGGTTTTTTTCACAAACTCACTAAGTTGGAATCTTACTATTACCAATTTTATATGTATTTTCATGTTAATTTTTTATTTTTCTGTCCATAATTTATAAAGTTATAATTTTTAATAATTTAAAATTGATATTCATTTTAAAAATTATATAAAGTCTATGAAAAAGTACTAATTGATGATTTACACGCGAATTTAATACATTCATACAAAAATAGAAGCTTAAAAGTTTATGTTACTTAAAATCTGTTTACGTTTAAAATGAAGTTTCTTGTTACCTTGTCAGTAAACAAATGCAAATCATTGTTTTTCAAACCATAATTATAAAATATATTATAGTTTAGTTGTTAAATTATATATTTGCTTTGGTATTTTGTTTTCATTCGATTATTTTATTCGAACAACTTAATTTCCCTTCATATAAGATATGCATGGGATTGCATGTCGTTTGGGAAGCCCAGTCATGTTGCATGGATCATAATGATCTTATATTATTTCTATATATCAATATAAACTCAGTATTAACACTATTATTTATACGAATATAAAGCTTTATTATTTTTAGTAATGTTTTTTCCTTTTCACTTGGCAAAGGAGTAATGGATCTACGTGATTTTTTATGGATTTGAAGCGACAGTGTAAAAAATGAATGCGTGTATTACGAGCGGTTGAAGTAAAACTTTTTTGGCAAATATTGCAATTAAATTAAAACAAATCAATTATTAAATGAGGCCTATTATTCTTAATCTGAAAGAATATAAATATATAATACTAGCATTGCCTGCGGCTCCGCCCGCGTTCAGATTACCAAAAACTAAATTCTTAGGTTTTAAATATTAGTATACTCTTGCAGTTTTTGTATTTTCTCTCAGAAATGAGCTATTTTCCCGCGGTAAAATGTATCCTATATGTTGACCCGGATAACCAGCTAACATCATACCAAATTTCATCAAAATCCCTCGAGTGGTTTTTCCGTGATGCGGTAACAGACAGACAGACAAAAATTCTAAAAACTATAGATTCGGCCTCTGTATCGATAATAATATCTATTTCAATAAGATTTTCCAAAAAATATTCAATGTACAGATTCGGCTTAGTTACAATTTTATTATATGTATAGATATACTTGTCAGACAATAGCTACGGTTGCCATGGCAACATGGCAATGCAATCCTATAAATTTATGTGTTTGTCTCTTTCTCGTGTCGCATTTCCGTTTCAAATCACAACGATTCTAAAGAAGTTTCTTTTCAAAAAAAAACTATATTAAGTGTATTCCTTGGGATGGGCAAAATGTTACTGAGAGGAATTCACGCTTCAAAGAGTGATGGAGACACTGCCTACATTCAATGTGCAGGGCACTGTGAGATTCTCACTCAATAAAATCCTACCTTATTGCCACACTAATCGGATGATGTAAGCCCAATTATAAATCAATAATGTATAAGACTTTAGTATTAAACAATAAACAAAACATTGAATTTCGAAATAAAATATTGAGTACATTTTAAAATTACTTGTCTTACAAGCAAGCGGTTACATACAAGTAGCGGTTTCTTGTCGAAATGAGTCATAGGTTTGCTTTTATTTTACTTTAATTATAATTCTGTGAAGCAGGCTGTTTTTTTTCTAGATAACATAACATCTCATACCATTATTATCTTTCCTTAGAAGACTGCCGAGGTCAATAACTTGGCTAAGCACGAGGTTTTTAATTATAATTGGTAAGATGTGAATCTCAGCTACCAAAATATACAAAACATAAATACCAAAAATCAAGTAACAATTAATAGCCTTAGGTCTCGATCTATGTTTTTTTTTACTAAAAATTCCTTTAGCTTGGAGATCTTTTGGTATGAAAACCCAATATCTTGATATAAAATTGTCTACATTTGGACTTGGTTCGTTCCGGAAATCGATACGAGCAATTAACTACTTCAATTTACCTGTTTATATTTGGATGTCAGGTAATGTGTTCGAAAAAGGCCGCCAAACGTATGATTGAATTTTCTAGAAGTCTTTTACTTTCGAATGATACTATCTTGTTACAGGAAAAGAGTTCTTGTACTTAAAAAAAAAACTATTAATTTTTTTTCATTTAAAATCGCCTGGAGTAATTTTTTGGTGATAACCTCCCTGGGTCCTGTTTGTTAATATGTTTTATAGTTTAAAAAAATCGTCTGGAAAATGAGCAAGTGGTTCACCACATAGATCAGATTCATCTACTATAAGTATCATAGTAGGATAATAAAGTTCCTGCTAATAATGTATGGTACCAGTACCTATATTTTTCTTTATAAGTATAATACGTAGTGTAGATTTCATGTCTACCTTCATTTTATTTACATATGTGTATTATGTACATATATTTCATATACACATATGAAAATGAAATGAAATAATATATATATATATATATATATATATATATATATATATATATATATATATATATATATATATATATATATATATATATTCTCTACTATTTTCACATAAAAGTAACAGTACTACCTCCATAATTTACCTCGACAGGTTACCTCGACAGTATAAGGTTTTAGGAAAAGTATTAATAGTGTTACTACTGATTACAGTCGCACTTGAACTTGACTCAACCAAAAAAGTTCTCACTTTTTATTGTATCGCCCGGGCACAAAAATAGTTTTTTTATGTCTGATCTTTTTATTTACGCATTTGTATATGTTTAAATATAATTCTACTCAAATAATAAAGATGCTGAAATAATGAGAATAATTTACATACTATATGAGATATCAGCGACTCACCTTCGCTTCGCCCGAGCGAAAACTAGGGACGAACTCAGGTTCGTACCGCACAGCGTACGCCAAATAATGTCTATTAAAGATACATTTTTGATACCTTAGGTTAAAATATTGCAATTTTCGTGAGGAAATTTTTTTTTGAAAATTAAATATGACCCATGTTATATACCAGATCGCTGGTAATGTTGCTTTTGATAGGTGAAAAAAATTTTTAGCCCAATACATATTTTTTTAGTTTATTCATTACAAACAAAAAAACCTCTTATAATATTAGTATAGTAATTTTAAAACATACATAATACAAAATATAGAAACCATATTTTATTGCTAATATTAATGAAGTATAATATATTATTTTAATTTTTTCCTCAAGACTTGGATAGGAAACAAAGAATATTGTCTCGTTTCTACATTATATCTACATACTATGTAGCTGAGTAAAATAAGCCACAATATATACTAGTTTCTGTATTTGAAAAGGCGTTTCAAACAAGAGTTTATATATACCTATATAAAACAAAGTCGGGTTTGTTTACCTAATCAAATATTTTCGAAGTCGGTGTGCTTTGGCTAAGTAATTAAAGTCTACCTATTAAATACATACCTAATCAAATATTTTCGAAATCGGTGCCAGCCCATACAAAGCAAAGCACACCGACTTCGAAAATATTTGATTAGGTATGTATAGTAAATGAAAACTACCTATCACTTATTTTTTACTTTTTAGTGCCTTTGTTTGAAGTCGGTTTTTTCCCACTTAATTATTAATTATACCAGTAGATGATTTTGTATTTTTTTAATTATACCTTCCCAGATAATTCCTTACTCTATTGGTTAAAGTACTATAAAAATCTGTACAGTAGTTTCTGAGATTGCCCGAGCAAACTCAAACTCTAATCTATACATATAATAAAATTCTAACTAAGCCGAATCTGTACATTGAATATTTTTTGGAAAATCTTATTAAAATAGACATTATTTTCGATACAGAGGCCGAATCTATAGTTTTTAGAATTTTTGTCTGTCTGACTGTCTGTCTGTCTGTTACAGCATCACGGAAAACCACTGGAGGGATTTTGATGAAATTTGGTATAGTGATAGCTGGTTATCCGGGTCAACATATAGGATACTTTTTACCACGGGAAAATGTCTCATTTTTGAGAAAAAATACAAAAACTGTAACGTAAGAAAACTCTTATCGTATACACTGATCTGTAAAACCTAAGAATTTGGTTTTTGGTCACCTGAACGCGGGCGGAGCCACGGGAAATGCTAGTAATATATACCTACTTATTTATAAAAACATTTTGTTTTCATTACAGATGTTTTAAGTAATAAATCTAGATATCTAAACTTTTTACTTCTCCTGATCCATGTAATTGACAAGTTTATAGCAACGTGTTATTAAAAGGAACAGGTTTATCAAGTTTTTTCACTATTACGGGATAGTTAAGAGGCGGTATAATTTAATAATTATCTGTAAAATACTGGTTATATTTTGCCAAATTAATTACTAACGTTCGTCTAGTTGTCGAAATTCGACTATAATTATTATTGAAAATTTGAGGAAAACATTAAACAAAATTGTTTTATTGATTAAACTAAAGCTCATCAACATAATAATCTATACATATAATAAAATTGTAAGTTAGCCGAATCTGTACATTGAATATTTTTTGGAAAATCTCATTAAAATAAACATTATTATCGATATAGAGGCCGAATCTATAGTTTTTAGAATTTTTGTTTGTCTGTCTATCTGCCTGTCTGTTACCGCATCACAGAAAAACCACTGGACAGAATTTGATGAAATTTGGTATAGTGATAGCTGGTTATCCGGGTATATAGGATACTTTTTACTGCGGGAGAATATCTCATTTCTGAGAAAAAAATACAAAAACTGCATTGTAAGAGTATACTAATATGTAAAATCTAAGAATTTGGTCATCTGAACGCGGGCGCAGCGGCGGGCAATGCTAGTAATCAACGAAACGTAAAAGATCGGTTGACAAACAGAGGAGAAAAAGGTACTGAACTGTTGTGTTCTTGCCTATGTCAATATATTTCTCGTATCTCCATCGTTAGGTGAGATGTGCAAATAATATATGAAAAACAAAACTTAATCTTCAAAGTAGGCTAAGTAAAGCTTTTAAGCTCTGGTATCTTATACTTAAACATTTTTGTTCTTACAAATATCTCATTTTACTTAAATTTTATTAGATGCTTTTTTATTTTTAAAATGAAATATATCATATTGAAATGACAGTAATTAAGTAATGCTATTTTGTTTCTCTGACGTGATATTTAAAATGTGTCTTTCATAGTTATAAATAACTCTAATCGTATATAGGCAAGATATGACACATATAAATTATGAAGTTTTATTATAATTATTTGGAAAAAAAAATCAATAAACTTAACAAATTTTTAATGTTTATAATAAAACTACCAACTGACTCTCGCTTCGTTCGGATGCGTCCGTAGATGCCAAGCAGTAAGACTATGTGTTCTATTTCCTAAATCTTTAAACTAAATTTTATTCCATTACGTACCTATAGCCGTTTAAATTGTTAGTATACAAATGCTTTCATTTTTATAATAATAGTGTGGTCCCTTATATTCAATCATGCGTTGGTTATTAAAGCAAGCCCAGCTAAATTAAATATCCAGAGCTTTTTATATAGATTATTTACATTTTAAATTGACTTTATTAAGACATTTGTATGGACTTATCAAATTTCATCGTTAAAAACGTAGTATTAATACTAATTATAACTCGTATGCATTAATTTTAATTCTGTTATCCAACTGCCTCGGTGGTGTAGTGGCTAGCATGTACGGCTGCACACCCGGAGGTTCTGGGTTCGAGTCCCGGGTCGGGCCAAGTTTAATTATTAAGTATTTCTGTATAGTAAGCTTCAGTAACAGCCCGGAGTTGAGAAGTTAGCGGTGTATCACCCCCGTGCCTCGGAGAGCACGTAAAGCCGTCGGTCCTGCGCCTTAACTCTCACTGGTCGTGTCGAGTGGTCGTCCCATCAGAGTATGAGAGTGACAGGAATGGAGAGTGCACGTTGTGTCTGCGCGTACACTTATGCACTATAATATCTCCTGCGCAGTTGGCTAGTCTCAATGAGATTGGCCGCCGTGGCCGGAATCAGTCAGGAGAACATCATCACATCAGCATCCAAGGCAGATCTACGGTCTCTAGGACTGTGTTGTTATTACGATGTATCAGTATGATTTCACAACAATTACTGTAATAGAAGCTTTGAAGTGCAATAACATTGAAAAATCAAGCTCCTATGTATTGCTCATAAGATTCATATCTTTAAAGCCAAAGGTTTTGTTCATCTTAGTTTGAAACGGAATTCTTTGCATCGTTAACATTTAATAGGTTTCCGTGTCTAATAAAATTGTTAATTATATATTTTTATTTGACTTTATGTTACTTCACGCACGATACGTGTATCAAAATCTATATAAAAACTTAAAAAAATGAAGCCAAATTCCAGGCACTAAAATGTATTATTAAAATGTGTATTAATATGTAAAATTCAAATGTAAAAAATAACTAAACGGAGGTTTTCATTTAGAATAGATACCTAATCAGATATTTTCGAAGTCGGTGCCTTGCAGGGAAGGTATTAACATTGAGATCGAATATGGAATATACTATAATATATATTAATAAACATTAATATCTTTAATAGTTATACGCGTCTAAGGCCTGTTTGGAATTATTTTGAATGTTATATATTCATTTTAAGTTTTATAATATAATAATAATTTAGACCAAACATTCAATGCAGTTTGAATTTCGATTTTAGACCTCGTTTGGTTAAAATTAAAATTTTGCTCTTGTGGCTATAAAATATTTCCTATTTTATGTTATTTAGGCCAGATAATTTAACCACTGTTTACATAATTTTAATTTGCTTTTATTTTAAACGTATATACATACATATTACAATGTTTTATCAATAATAACTTAATAATGTCCGTGATTGTATTCTCCATGTTCTTGTTCTCCATGTTCTTGTCCACCATGTTCGTATTCTCCATGTTCTTGTCCACCATGTTCGTATTCTCCATTTTCGTGTCCACCATGTTCGTGTCCACCATGTTCGTATCCACTATGTTCGTGTCCACCATGTTCGTGTTCATTATGGCCTTCGTAACTGCTGTCGTGATCATGACCAAATCCAATGTGACCACCGACACCATGGCCTCCATGGCCATCACCGAATCCTGCACCGATACCTGCGCCGTATCCTATAAAAGAATTTAAATTTAATTCTACAAACCTTAAAAATCGCATACATATAATGTTAAAATTTTTAATGGACTAAAATATAAATCTCTAGTGCGATTGTAAGCTAGTTTTACATTTTTTTATTAATATTGATTGCTGATGGTGTATCTTAATATTATTATGTAATTCTTCTGTACGCAGTACGTGTGTTTGTTACCTTACTCCTCCTAAAGCGCTGGACAGATTTGGATGAAATTTTGTGTGTATATTTTAATGGGCTCCTGGGTGGGTTGAAAATACAATTGGACCCGGTAGGCGCTGCAATCGGTGTGCCACTGATCATCTCCTACACGGCAGGGACGATTTCAATGATATTTTTTGTGCATGTTCGAGTGGGTCCCTGCAAGGTTTGGAAATACAAATGGACCCAGTAGGTAACGCTGCAGTCGGTATGCAACTGAACATCTCCTAAGCGGCAGTACTGGCTTTTCTGGCCGTTCAGTCCCACATAACCAACCGACCATAATGTATGTATACAGGTGATATGTGCAAATGCATTCCCCAACATTAAAAAAAAATTAGTTATCATTATGTCTTTTACTTATATAACTATTTTAAAATAAGCATATAACTAGGACGCTTGGCTTGAACAAAAAAGCTACTTACAAACATCTATCTTAAAGTAATGACCTACTTAGTATTATCCCAGCGTTTTTTACCCCTTATTTACATGAATGGAGAGCAACCCTTATTTTTGATTCTTCGTAGCTTAAGTACAGCTTTTAGCCGCCTACCGGCTCACGTGAGACAATTGCCGACCAAATTTAGCAATATATATAGCTCGAATAGTCTTGAGGATAATAGGTTTTATAAACATTCCTTTTATCCTTTAAGCTTACGGAAAATTTAATTTTGCATAGGTATATTATAATTTATATATATTTTTTATTTACGTACCTGGATACGCCGCAGCTACCGCGACTAATGCTAATGCAACAATCTGGAAAAAATAAATAAAATAATGCATTAGGTGAAATAAATTTTGAAAGTGATTTAATATTTAGTTTTATTTACATGTTATTAGTTTTTTGTAGTTAACTATCTTTTTAATACTTAGCTTAGCTAGATTGCTTCGCCGTGTCAGCCTATAATTTTTCTCAATAAATGCAAATGGCTTTGAAATGCAATATTTTTTTTTAAAGCTAACTGGTACAAAACAAAGAAGACTGAATAAAAGAATTCAGCTTTATATTAATTAAAGTTAAATTTATTTTCGTTACGCTTAAGTTTTTTAGTGTAAAGGTATATATTTAATATTAAAATTTAAACCTACATAATATACATATAATAAAATTCTAACTGAGTCGATTCTGTACATTAAGTATTTTTTGGAAAATCTTATTGAAATAGTCATTATTATCTATATATCAACTGCCTCGGTGGTGTAGTGGCTAGCATGTACGGCTGCACACCGGAGGCCCTGGGTTCGAGTCCCGGGTCGGGCCAAGTTTAGTTATTGAGTCTTTCTGTATATTAAGTCTCAGTAACAGCCCGGAGTTGGGAAGTTGGCGGTGTTCACCCCCGTGCCTCGGAGAGCACGTAAAGCCGTCGGTCCTGCGCCTTAACTCTCACTGGTCGTGTCGAGTGGTCGTCCCATCAGAGTATGAGAGTGACAGGAATGGAGAGTGCACGTTGTGTCTGCGCGTACACTTGTGCACTATAATATCTCCTGTGCAGTTGGCTAGTCTCAATGAGATTGGCCGCCGTGGCCGGAATCGGTCAGGAGAACATCATCATTATCTATATAGAAGCCGAATCTATAGTCTGGGAACGTATTACGAGAAAACCACTGGACGGCTTCTGATTTTAGTATGGAGATAATAGCTGATATCCGAGTCAACCTATATTATACTTTTTACTGCGGGAAAATATCATCATCTCTGAGAAAAAATAAAAAAAAACTGGTTTGAATAAAACCACGCAATAATATAAACAGTAAACATAAAATAAAAAAAATTCTATAAACATTTTAGCAAGGTAATATGCAAAATAGGTCAATAAATAATTATGAATAGCTTCTCTTGAAAAAAACTATATAAATAACGATATTTTATACAGAAAATTAACTCGAAAAATATTTAGTTAGGTGTAATTTAGAAAACCATCACTAGATGTCGTCATATATTTTTAAAATACCTAATTTTAATTCTATAAAAAATTTATGTAAGAATTATTAGCATTATCCGCGGCTCCGTCCGTGTATTTCAAATGAAAATATTTATAAATTTTTGCTATTTTTAAGTAATGCTAAAAATGTTTGTAAATTTTCAGATATAAAAATCGGGCAATGCCAGTCCAACTCGCACACCAACGGCTCCGTTTGGCCAAATACTGTTTTATTTTTGCTTACTTACTGCCATATTATTACTAAAATGAAGAATATTTAAATCTTCACAACATCGACATTTTATCGTTCAAAAAAAAACAAGTTTGTGTTTCATATATACTATCTGTTTACTCATTATTATTATAGAAAATAAAGTTTGCGGTTGCTAAACACACAAAGCGGGTCACTGTAAATATTCTATATCCCAAAAACTACATAACATATATTATTCTCAAAAGCAATTTTACGTTTAAAGATTTAGAAATATCTCAATTATTTAGATTAATTTGACACCATTTCTTGAAAGGTAAACAAGGAATGATTTTTCTTAAGCATTATCTCGTACATGATTGCGACTTTATCTATACTAATAAATGGAAAGCTGATTTTTTTTGGTCGGTTATACTGCGATAACTACTGAACCGATCGGAATAATACTCATACCATAAGATGCAGCGTGTTTCGGAGAAGGGTTTAGTATATGATTTGTTGGTGATTAATGTACTATGAAACTAGGAAAACGCTAGTAATTTATAGTTAAAAAAAAATTGCTTGGAAACATTTAACTTACACTTTCGACACTTTCGAAAGTATCACTTGCCCGATTTTTATATATCAAGATAAGAACAAAAATTTACAAAGATTTTTAAATTGAAAATCGTTTCGGACAGTAATAAAAAGTAAATAAATCTTTCCTCTATATAATATTAGTATAGAAGTATATATATATATATATATATATATATATATATATATATATATATATATATATATATAAATAATTTTTAATCTGAAGATTGTAATATAACAAAATTAAATATAAGATTAAAGAGGAACCTTTGTGGCGTAAGGAAATGCCACTCAGTGACTCACTGCCATTTTTTATTTAATCTTGCGGTGTACAATAAATCTGGCTTGTATAATAATAATAAAAAAAAATAGATACAGTCTAAAGGTTTGATTTTAAATAATACTAGTATTGCCCGCGGCTCCGCCTGCGTTCAGATGACCAAACACCAAATCCTTAGGTTTTACATATTAGTATACTCTTACATTACAGTTTTTGTATTGTTTCTCAGAAATGAGATATTTTCCCGCGGTAAAAAATATCCTATATGTTGACCCGGATAACCAGCTATCATCATACCAAATTTCATAAAAATCTGTCCAGTGGTTTCTCGTGATGTGGTAACAGACAGACAGACAGACAAAAATTCTAAAAACTATAGATTCGGACTGTGTATCGATAATAATGACTATTTCAATAAGATTTTCCAAAAAAATACATTATATATATATAATAATATAAATATATGTATACATTAGTGACTTACAAACAAATAAATCTTTCCTTTTTATACGAGTAATATATTTAGTCTAGAATTAAAAACACACTATAAATTTTGTTGTTAAAAAGGAAAATGTAATATTACGAAATTAAATATGAGATTAAAGTTGGAATATTTGTGGCATTGCCAATCACCGCCATAATAACACAATTTTTAAAATGTTTGTCTCTCTGTGTGTCTGTATGTTTGATCCGGCTAATCTCCGAGACGGCTAGACTGATTTTAACGGGACTTTCACTGGCTGTATATGTTATAAAGAGTAACTCAGGCTACTTTTAATTTTGAAAAAGAAATAGGGTTTCGCTCAAAAAAAATAAAACATACCTGAGTGAAGCGAGAGTAAGTCGTTATTGTTTTATAATACTTAAAAATTTGTTTTTTGTTCGTCCGAACGCGGGCGGAGCAGCTGGCAATATTTGTATCATATAAATTAATATTTTTTTACTTACCATAATCTTGGTCATTTTGCGAACTGTTCAAGTTATGTCTACGGCAATCTCACAAAATACTAATAATGCCAATTTTAACCCCTTCTCGTCTTATATACGAATTGATCGGACGCGATCTCCTTCTGACGTCATAATACAAGATCTTCATATTGTCAATAATAAAGTTCCAGTTAAACATCTAAAATCGCTATTTTACTAAATGTATAAATTTTCTGATATTTATTATGAAATCAAAATTTATTTTCGTCTATGGAAATTTAAAATGCAAATTTAAATCTGCTTAGGTAATACTGTTCTTTTAATACATTTATTTGTAATACGAATATTTAAATTATTATTTTTATATAAAATAAGTAACATTTTTTTAATAAATAGTTTCAATTAAATAATAAGGTTAAGCCTAGCTTGACTTATTTTTATTATTTTAAATTAGAATAATTGTTTTTAATTATTTTAAACCTGGTGTTCAAACCCAGAAGTAGCTAAAATAAAAAAAAACATGTTTAACAAAAAAAAAAAAATGGTGTGCTAATATTTTTTATAATAAATATAGACACAAGACAGGTCTGCCCTTTATAATATATTATTTTATTTATCGCATCGTATCACAGTATATCAAAATCGCAAGAACATTTGATTTTTATATACATTTTTTGTCTGATGATAAATTGGTGTACTTACTATTATTTAAAAATTGTCATGAAAATTTAAATTTCAAATTAATTATAATAGTTTTTAAAATTCAAAATGCTCATCAAATATATATTTTTATTATATTTCATATATTAAGGTTTTTTACACCATAAACTTAACAAATAACAGTAATAAAAGCAATAAAAATTAAATGTGGCACTCGGAGACTGCCGCGTAAAGCTATTGCATAGCATTTTTTATCAACTTATGCAAGCTTATTTTAATATCAAAAATTTTGGTTATCTTTATAGCAGTATTATATATAAATTAACAAAACAAAAAATAATACTGCATTTGTGATAATAATAATAAAATGAATGTATATAGAGTACTAACTCATTTTCTTTCACTATTTTTTCGTGACTTTCTTCTTTAATAAATGCACTTTGTTTATTCATATTTAAAACACTGTACACAAATTATACGAGTACAGATATTCACTGTTGTACATAGATGATAAATACCTATAAACCTATATACTTTCTCACAAACAGCTGATTACGGTAGTTTTCCAATACAACCAATGCCACCTAAAGGCGGGTTGCTGAACTAAAGAGACAAGCGTGATATTTCATGGGCTTAGGCTTATCAAAATGTAACTTTTATCGAAATATAAATACTAATATAATAAAGAGGTGATATTTGCGCATTTGTAGAAGTTAAACTCCCGAACTGCGATTCTAAAGGAAAGTATAAATTGCCTGCTTTACGTCTCAATGCATTATAAAGATTTCACCATGTTTATTTAGTTTAAGTTTGCAATACCACAACGCAGTCTTTCTAAATAAATACGTGTTTTTTTGTTTTACTATAACTCAAATTAGGTATAGATGTTATATTTTCAAATCTCAGGAGATTTTTAATCAGGTTATGTAAATAATATATAAACAATAATATACCAGGAACCGGTTCGTTTATCGGTTTTTTCCCCACAAAATCACTATGTTGCGGTGCTTAACAATTGTGTATTTTCATATTTATATTTTACTAGCGGCTCACACCCGCATCGCTCCGGGTTCATCTCTAAAAAAACAAGAACAAATCTATCCCACGGGAACCGTACATTTCCCGCGAAAAAAAAGTTGTGTTATTCTGATTTATGAGCTATTTATTCAGTAGTTTTTGCGTGAAAGAGATCACCAGATCCATATCCATACATCTAGACATCCATACATCCTCACAAACTTTCGCATTTATAATATATATAGGATTTTTCCTATTTATAATTTATAAACTCATAATTTTTTTATAATTTAAAAAAATCTGTGAATTTATGATTAGTTAATTTATGATTTGCACGTGAATAAAATAAATTCATACAAAAATATAAGCTTAAAGTTCGTGTTACACATAATCTGTTTACGTTTAAAATTTATTAGTATTTTATAGTGGCTAGCATGTACGGCTGCACACCCGGAAGTCCTGGGTTCGAGTCCCGGGTCGGGCCAAGTTTAGTTATTGAGTCTTTCTGTATAGTAAGTCTCAGTAACAGCCCGGAGTTGGGAAGTTGGCGGTGTTTCACCCCCGTGCCTCGGAGAGCACGTAAAGCCGTCGGTCCTGCGCCTTAACTCTCACGGGTCGTGTCGAGTGGTCGTCCCACCAGAGTATGAGAGTGATAGGAATAGAGAGTGCACTTGTGTCTGCGCGTACACTTGTGCACTATAATATCTCCTGCGCAGTTGGCTAATCTCAATGAGATTGGCCGCCGTGGCCGGAATCGGCTAGGAAAACATCACGTTTAAAATTAAGTTCCTTGTTACTCATAATTATAAATATTACGGTGTAGTTGTTAATAATTGTATAAAAACTACATTTATGATTTTTATTTAGTTTCCCTTCACGTAGTTGGGGAGTGATATTATATTATTTCTATTTGTTAATATAAACTCAGTATTAGCACAATTATTTATGCGAGTAAAAAAGTCATTATTAATAAAGATTTTTAATATTATTTGTCCTTTTTGTCAATAGAAATTCAGTCGGAAATCGAACCCGAAATCTTCGACATTTGTAGTAATTTTAACGTTATTGAAATTAAACCTGATTTTATTTCCAGAGAATAGTTTTTGATTCGAGCACAATTTATTGATAGTTTTAACGATTGTAAGTTGTTATATCTGATGACGCATAGAAGATTTCCGGTTAATTTGATATGTAAAATAAAATGTTATGTTTTTATATTATGCATTTACTTTTATTAGGTTTGAAATATAATAAATATAATTTAAAATTAATTAACAGGTTTTGTCAGAAGGTTTTTACCAACACTGACCTTCACATAATTATTACAAGGTTTTACTTTATTAATTATTTATTTTTCTAACACGTGATATTTTTCTTTAAATCGATGATAATTTGGAAATTATTGAATTTATTCCATTCAACTTTTAAAATGACGAATTTTCATACAAAAATGAAACTCCTTGAATTTTCAAACCTTCTTTTTTAGTGGACTTTATGAGCAATTTTTAATTTTATTGAAGCCAAGTTTATATAGTAGGTACACTAGCAGAACTCGCGGCTTCGATCGCGCTAAAACTACAAAAAAATACTCGAAAAAAGGTAGGTTTCATACAATCTTTCATCCCCTATTTTACCTATTTATTTAATTATATTGAAGAGCATTAATACCAAGTTTCAAGTAATTCTGATCATAATTTTTTTTTTTGGGTTGTATTATGACGTACTTTCCTGTGGGAATGATATAATCTCCCGCAGTAATAGGTAGCCTATATCAGTCTCCAGCCCTCCAACTATCTCCACACAAAAAATCACGCCAATAAGTTACTCCGTTTCAACGTGAAAGAAGGACAAACAAACAAACAAACACACTTTAACATTTATAAAAATATTAAGTATGGATTTTATACTTAGACTAGCATTACCCGCGGCTCCGCCCGCGTTCATATGACCAGAACCAAATTTTTAGGTTTTACATATTAGTATACTCGTATTAGTATATTAGTTGAGCCGGATAACCAGCTATTACCATACCAAATTTCTTCATAATCCCTCCAGTGTTTTTTCTGTGATGCGGTCATATACAGACAGACAGAAACTCTTAAAACGATAGGTTCGGCCACTATTAGCGATAATAATGTGTATTTCAATAAGATTTTCCAAAAAATATTTAAAGCACACAGATACGGCTTAGTTAAATTTTAATGTATCTATAGTAGACCAGGGTAGAAGCCTTTAAAAATAATAAAAAGTGAAAAAAAATAATAGTAGGACCCATTAGAAAAGGAGGGGAATATTATAAAAATGAAAGGAAAAACAATTTACGGGCGATCTGAGATCGGGAAGGGGGTGGGGGGGAGCTTAATTAATAATGCCTTCACTATTCTTATATGAAGACATTATTATTTACATCTTTATATGAAGGCATTATTAATTCGATGTTGTCTTTTCAGATTATCAGTATGGATGAATCTGTTTGTATCATCTGCAATAAGGCAGATGATAAGCAAGTGTATGAAATAAAAAAGGTTTTTTGTTTTTTGCATTTTCTCAGAAGATTTACTATAGTAACATATTTTTTTTTTCACCATCGGAAAGTAGAGATTTCAACGAACAGAAAACACACCAACTTTTTGAAAAAAGCTGATATTTTGACGGGTGAATTTTCGATTGAAAATTAGGGTGCTTTTTCGATATTAATTCAAAATAAGGTGAAAAAATAAATATTTTTAATCAAATAAATTACAGCGTATTTAGGACATAAAAAGGTAAGTTTTCACCAAATTTCGTTAAAACAAAAACATTTTTGTAAAAGATAAAAATAAAAAACCAAAAAGTTGGTTTTTTGAATTTTTCACATAAATTTTGAGGTTATGTGAAAAAAGTGTAAATAAAAAAGTTTTAGATCTTTTTATTACCTACAACTTTGCCATTTGATTTTTTTCGATAGGACTTTTAGTTTTGCCGGAAATCGAGAAAAACCGTTTTTTACCCTTAAAAGCTCCCCCCCACCCCCTTCCCGACCTCAGATCGCCCGTAAATTATTTTTCCTTTCATTTTTATAATATTCCCCTCCTTTTCTAATGTGTTGCATCCTACTATTATTTTTTTTGGTTTCAAAAATTATCGACTCTGGTCTATAGGTGTAACTATTTTATGAAGCCAAAAAGATTGTTTTTTGATAATTTGAAGACGGGCGGGGCCGCGGGTAATTTAGTGTTAATTCTAATAAAATCATAGAAAGGTCTAATTTGTAAATTCAATTTTTTGGAATTAAAACTACGTATTTTAAAGACATATAGGCAGTGGTAGCCCAGTGGTAATGCGCTCGCTTGGAAAACCGAGTGAAGCGAGTTCAAATCCCGGGTCTCGCACCTCTGATATTTTCATGTGCGAATCATTTCCAACATGATTACCACTTGTCTTAACGGTGAAGGAAAACATCGTGAGGAAACCTGCATGTCTGAGAGAACCTAGCAAGTTTTCAAAAGACATGTGAAGTCCGCCAATCCGCACTTGGCCAGCGTGGTGGACTATGGCCTGATTCCCCTCGTACTGAAGGGAGGCCCGTGCCCAGCAGTGGGACGTTAAAAAGGGCTGAATACATTTTAAAGACACATGGCGACATCTATTGACAAATTGAAATATCTAAATAATACAAATACCATTAAAAATATCCATTAAAATAACTTTTTTAATGAATAAAATAGTGCTATTGATATACTTTTTCAAGATTAGCTATTTTTAATAGTTTTTGTCATATTTAGTAAGTCAAGTTGCTAAAATGTATATAGTATCATAGTTTTTTAATCTAACCAGTTTTTGTATTTTTTCTCAGAAATTAGATATTTTTCTGCGGTAAAAAGTATTCTATATGTTGACCCGGATAATCAGCTATGACCATACCAAATTTCATCAAAATCCGTCCAGTAGTTTTTCTGTGATGCGGTAATAGACAGACAGACGGGAGGACGGGAGGACGGGCGGACGGGCGGACGGGCGGACGGGCGGACGGGCGGATGGGCGGACAAAAACTGTAAAAACTATAGATTCGGCCTCTGTCTCGATAATAATGCGTATTTCAATAAGATTTTCCAAAAAATATTTAATGTACAGATTTGACTCAGAATTTTATTATATGTATAGATTTCGTGATTTAGTTTCTTGAGATTACTTTAGTTACAATGGTTATCCAAAGTAAGGCCAGAGACACGAGATGCAGATAAAATATGATCAATAGTAGTTTAGTCTCTCTATCTAAGCTCTACATATTTTACCTTAATGCAGAACACTCGCGCTAAATCTACAAAAAAAAAACTCCAATATAGTAAGTTTCATACAAACTTTCATCCGCTATTTTGCCCCCTTATGGGATGAATTTCAAAAAATGCTAAAACACGTATTTAATTAATTGTATTGAAGAGCATTAATACCAAGTTTCAAATAATTGTGATCATAAATAAATTTTTGGATTGTATTATAACGTGTTTTCCCGTGGGAAAGAGATAAACCTCCCGCGGTAAAAAGTAGCCTATGTGACTCTCCAGCCCTCCAACTACTTCCACACAAAAAATTACGCCAATCCGCCAAGCCGTTTCCACGTGAAAGAAAGACAAACAAACAAACACACTTTCACATTTATAATATTAGTATGGATTTAATTAAACATACTAGCGGGCATATTTTAATAGGCAAACATATTGTCCCTTTCATTATTGTATATAAAAAAATGATTTTGATTAAATACGCTACGAACGTAGCAATCTTGCAGCCGGATCTTGATCCATTAGTAATTAGTTAAATAACAACATTTTATAGTGACCGTATCAATATTAGACATCTTTATTTCTTTATAAATAGAATGACTTGGACATCGGACGGAAACATAATCATATAAGAATAATCTACTAATATATATATATATATATATATATATATATATACAAGAATTGCTCGTTTAAAGACATAAGACAAGAATTGCTCGTTTTAAAGATATAAGATAGATGAGGATATTTGTCGTATCCAATATTATACTTTTGTAGTATTCCCTTGTATATTCTTATTTTCTTATTATTGTCAGTTTTTGTAATCGATTTCCGAAAAATTCTAGTAAGGCAACATGTCTTTTTCTTGTATTTTTCTATTAAAAAATTTAACATTAAATTAAACAGATCATGCTTCGCGATCCAAAGTTTGAGTTTACGTTTTTAACATTTATTTTCAAGTATTTGGTTTACTGTTTAATTCTCGTAAACTAAATAGTTTTAAGAACTCAAACTATGTCAGTATTTAGACGTACGTGGGCTAAACTACATTATTACAATACAAACTAGCATTGCCCGCGGCTCCGCCCGCATTCAGATAACCAAAATCCAAATTCTTAGGTTTTACATATTAGTATACTCTTACATTGCAGTTTTTGTATTTTTGTTCAAAAATGAGATATTTTCCCGCGGTATAAAGTATCCTATATGTTGACCCGGATAACCAGCTATCACCATACTAAATTTCATCAAAAAGTGGTTTTTCTGTGATGCGGTAACAGACAGACAGACAGACAGACAGATAGACAGACAGACAAAAAATTCTAAAACCTATAGATTCGGTCTCTGTATCGATAATAATGTTTATTCCAATAAGATTTTCCAAAAAATATCTAACGTACAGATTCGGCTTAGTTACAATTTTATTAATTATGTCTATGTAGATGATTATACTAAATCTCGTGGCATACAGTGCTCTCAGAATTCAAGTATTAACCATATCTCTTTTTTATCCGGCGCTTAGTCCGCCATGATTGAGACATGCGAAGCTTTTCTAATATAATATAAAATATTTTATCTATATATAAATCAAATAAAAAACTTTTTGAAATAATAGTTTTATTTTATAATAAATTCCTGTTGAAAATCCAAAAGTACACAATATACTCTTTTATTTGCAATCGAAATTAATATGATATTTGGGATCATTTTAAAAATATCATATAATTTTATTCTTCAGGCCCCATGAGGGCTGACAGTAATGTTATTTTACATTAAGTTTATTAAGCATTTATTCAGTCTTATATTTTGAATTTCGATTTCAGAGCTTATTAATAAAATTTGATTTAAAATATTGGTCTTGTATTATTATATATATTTTTAAATTTTAAACGCACATAGGTACATAACACAATATTCTACTAAAATAATAACTTAATAGTGTCCGCAGCTGTATGTCCGTGTCCTCCATGCCCGTGGTCACCATCGAAATCTCCGTGGCTGCCGTGATCAAGGATGCCTCAGAATCCTATGCCGATACTGAAAGTTCCGCGACTACCCTCATTACTACCTCTGCGGCCGGCACCGATCCCTGCACCGAAGCTCCCACTGTGGCTTGCACCGATGCCTCCACCAAGATTCCCACCGTGGCCAAAACCTATGCCTCCACCAAGACTCCCTCTTTGGCCTGCACCGAAGGCTGAACCGCCTGCTCCTATGCCTGCACCTATGCCTGCACTGTGGCCTCCACCAAGGCTCCCACTGTGGCCTGCTCCGATGGCTCCACCAAGACTCCCACTCTGGCCTGCACCGAAAGCTGCACCTACGCCTGCACTGTGGCCTCCACTAATAAGGCTTCCACTGTGGCCTGCACTAAAGCTTTTATCATGGCTTGCACTGATGGCTGCACTGACGGTTTTGTCATAGCTTGTACTGAGGCCTGCACTTGTGCCTGCACTGTAGCCTCCACCAAGGCTCCCACTCTGGCTTGCACCAATGTCTGCACCTATGCTTGCACTGTGGCTTCCACTAAGGCTTCCACGGCGACCTGCATCGAATTTTTTATCATGGCTTGCACTGAGGCCTGCACCTATGCCTGCACTATTGCCACTACTGAAGCTCCCACTCTGGCCTGCACCAATATCTCCACTTATGCTGGCACTGTAGCTTCCATCAAGGTTCCCACTATGACTTGCACCGATGCCCGCACCGACGTTTTTATCATGGCTGGCACTAACGCCTGCACCTATGCCTGCTCTGTGACCTCCACCAAGGCTCCCACTGTGGCTTGCACCGATGCCTGCACTGATGCTTTTATCATGGCTTGTACTGAGGCCTGCACTTATGCCTGCACTGTGGCCTCCACCAAGACTCCCACTCTGGCCTGCACCGAAAGCTGCACCTATGCCTGCACTGTGGCCTCCACTGTGGCCTGCACTGAAGCTTTTATCATGGCTTGTACTGATGCCTGCACTGACGGTTTTGTCATAGCTTGTACTGAGGCCTGCACTTGTGCCTGCACTGTGGCCTCCACCAAGGCTCCCACTCTGGCTTGCACCAATGTCTGCACCTATGCTTGCACTGTGGTTTCCACTAAGGCTTCCACGGCGACCTGCATCGAATTTTTTATCATGGCTTGCACTGAGGCCTGCACCTATGCCTGCACTGTTGCCACTACCGAAGCTCCCACTCTGGCCTGCACCAATATCTCCACTTATGCTTGCGCTGTAGCTTCCATCAAGGTTCCCACTATGACTTGCACCGATGCCCGCACCGACGTTTTTATCATGGCTGGCACTAACGCCTGCACCTATGCCTGCACTGTGGCCACTACCGAAGCTCCCACTCTGGCCTGCACCAATATCTCCACTTATGCTTGCGCTGTAGCTTCCATCAAGGTTCCCACTATGACTTGCACCGATGCCCGCACCGACGTTTTTATCATGGCTGGCACTAACGCCTGCACCTATGCCTGCACTGTGGCCTTCATCAAGACTCCCACTGTGGCTTGCACCGATGCCTGTACTGATGCTTTTATCATGGCTTGTACTGAGGCCTGCACTTATGCCTGCACTGTGGCCTCCACCAAGACTCCCACTCTGGCCTGCACCGAAAGCTGAACCTATGCCTGCACTGTGGCCTCCACTAATAAGGCTTCCACTGTGGCCTGCACTGAAGCTTTTATCATGGCTTGCACTGATGCCTGCACTGACGGTTTTGTCATAGCTTGTACTGAGGCCTGCACTTGTGCCTGCACTGTGGCCTCCACCAAGGCTCCCACTCTGGCTTGCACCAATGTCTGCACCTATGCTTGCACTGTGGCTTCCACTAAGGCTTCCACGGCGACCTGCATCGAATTTTTTATCATGGCTTGCACTGAGACCTGCACCTATGCCTGCACTGTTGCCACTACCGAAGCTCCCACTCTGGCCTGCACCAATATCTCCACTTATGCTGGCACTGTAGCTTCCATCAAGGTTCCCACTATGACTTGCACCGATGCCCGCACCGACGTTTTTATCATGGCTGGCACTAACGCCTGCACCTATGCCTGCTCTGTGACCTCCACCAAAGCTCCCACTGTGGCTTGCACCGATGCCTGTACTGATGCTTTTATCATGGCTTGTACTGAGGCCTGCACTTATGCCTGCACTGTGGCCTCCACCAAGACTCCCACTCTGGCCTGCACCGAAAGCTGCACCTATGCCTGCACTGTGGCCTCCACTGTGGCCTGCACTGAAGCTTTTATCATGGCTTGTACTGATGCCTGCACTGACGGTTTTGTCATAGCTTGTACTGAGGCCTGCACTTGTGCCTGCACTGTGGCCTCCACCAAGGCTCCCACTCTGGCTTGCACCAATGTCTGCACCTATGCTTGCACTGTGGCTTCCACTAAGGCTTCCACGGCGACCTGCATCGAATTTTTTATCATGGCTTGCACTGAGGCCTGCACCTATGCCTGCACTGTTGCCACTACCGAAGCTCCCACTCTGGCCTGCACCAATATCTCCACTTATGCTTGCGCTGTAGCTTCCATCAAGGTTCCCACTATGACTTGCACCGATGCCCGCACCGACGTTTTTATCATGGCTGGCACTAACGCCTGCACCTATGCCTGCACTGTGGCCTTCACCAAGACTCCCACTGTGGCTTGCACTGATGCCTGCACTGACGCTTTTATCATGGCTTGCACTGAGGCCTGCACCTATGCCTGCACCGTGGCCTCCACCAAGGCTCCCACTGTGGCTTGCAGCGATGCCTGCACTGACGCTTTTATGATGGCTTGTACTGAGGCCTGCACTGTGGTCTCCACCAAGGCTCCCACTCTGGCTTGTACCAATGTCTGCACCAATGCTTGCACTGTGGCTTACACTAAGGCTTCCACGGCGACCTGCATCGAATTTTTTATCATGGCTTGCACTGAGGCCTGCACCTATGCCTGCACTGTGGCCTTCACCAAGACTCCCACTGTGGCTTGCACTGATGCCTGCACTGACGCTTTTATCATGGCTTGCACTGAGGCCTGCACCTATGCCTGCACCGTGGCCTCCACCAAGGCTCCCACTGTGGCTTGCACTGATGCCTGCACTGACGTTTTTATCATAACTTGTACTGAGGCCTGCACTGTGGCTTCCACCAAGGCTCCCACTCTGGCTTGTACCAATGTCTGCACCAATGCTTGCACTGTGGCTTCCACTAAGGCTTCCACGGCGACCTGCATCGAATTTTTTATCATGGCTTGCACTGAGACCTGCACCTATGCCTGCACTGTTGCCACTAACGGCGCTTCCACTCTGTCCTGCACTAATATCTCCACCTATGCTGGCACTGTAGCTTCCATCAAGGTTCCCACTATGACTTGCACCGATGCCCGCACCGACGTTTTTATCATGGCTTGCACTGAGGCCTGCACCTATGCCTGCATTGTGGCCTTCACCAAAACTCCCACTGTGGCTTGCACTGATGCCTGCACTGACGCTTTTATCATGGCTTGCACTGAGGTATGCACCTATGCCTGCACCGTGGCCTCCACCAAGGCTCCCACTGTGGCTTGCAGCGATGCCTGCACTGACGCTTTTATGATGGCTTGTACTGAGGCCTGCACTGTGGCCTCCACCAAGGCTCCCACTCTGGCTTGTACCAATGTCTGCACCAATGCTTGCACTGTGGCTTCCACTAAGGCTTCCACGGCGACCTGCATCGATTTTTTTATCATGGCTTGCACTGATACCTGCACCTATGCCTGCACTGTTGCCACTAACGGCGCTCCCACTCTGTCCTGCACCAATATTTCCACCTATGCTTGCACTGTAGCTTCCATCAAGGTTCCCACTATGACTTGCACCGATGCCCGCACCGACGTTTTTATCATGACTTGCACTGAGACCTGCACCTATGCCTGCACCGTGGCCTCCACCAAGGCTCCCACTGTGGCTTGCACCGATGCCTGCACTGACGCTTTTATCATGGCTTGCACTGAGGCCTGCACCTATGCCTGCATTGTAGCCTTCACCAAGACTCCCACTGTGGCTTGCACTGATGCCTGCACTGACGCTTTTATCATGGCTTGCACTGAGACCTGCACCTATGCCTGCACCGTGGCCTCCACCAAGGCTCCCACTGTGGCTTGCACCGATGCCTGCACTGACGCTTTTATCATGGCTTGCACTGATGCCTGCACCTATGCCCGCACTGTGGCCTGCACTAAGGCTCCCACTGACGCCTGCACCGAAGCTTTTATCATAGCTTCCACTGATGCCTGCACTGTGACCTACACTAAGGCTCCCACTGTGGCCTGCACCGATGCCCCCACCAAGACTCCCGCTCTGGCCTGCTCCGAAAGCTGCACCTATGCTTGCACTGTGATCTCCCCCAAGGTTTCCGCTTTTGCCTCCACTGATGCCTGCACCTATGCCTGCACTGTGTCCTTCACCAAGGCTCCCACTGTGGCCTGCACCGATGCCTGTACTGAGGCTTTCACCATGGTTTGCACCGAAGCCTGCACCTATGCCTGCACTGTGGCCTTCAACAAGGCTACCACTGTGGCCTACATCGATGCCTCCACCAAGTTTCCCACTGTGGCTTGCACCGAAGACTGCACCAATGGCTGCACCGAATCCTATAAAAGAATTTAGATTTAATTCTACTACTACCATTACTTAAATATAATACATATAATGTATACACTTTTAATGGAATAAAATATAAAACTCTAGCAGGATTATAAACTAGCGAATATAAATACACAATAATATTTTTTTTTATAATGTTGATTGAAAATAGTGTAATAATCTAATAATAACCGTATTGTAAACAGATTAAAGACCCTAAAATAATAGTTATTAAAATTTTTGTCTCTTAGGGTGTGCGCGTTTCACGCAAAAAGTACTGAACCGATTTCTACTGAATCTTTTGTAGTGATGGGTGATAACTCATTACTCGGGTCAACATTTAGGTTTACTATAGAAAGATATTTCATTCACAAAACACAATAACTGATTATATTAAATCGTCTTTAGAAATGTATATGGCTAACGCTGGCTAAGCCATAAGAGATATATCAAAACAATGCACTAGAAAAGCATGGGTCATCCTTCTAAGATACAGTCGCAATAACTATTCATATATATTTAAAACATTCCTAGAGGCGCATCCTTTTTTAATATTGGGAAAAGCATTTACGCATACCACCTCTAGACATACACGTGGTTATGTGGGACTGATCGGTTCCAAAAGCCAGTACTACCCACTAAATCCCAACAAAACCTTCCCATCTTAAAGGGGCGTCGCAGGATCGATTACGCACTTAACTACGATGCCCCGACGGTAGGTCTGCCGAAGCGGATCACAATAATCCATGGTGTTGCACCACAGTCCACTCTGCTATCAGAGAAGTACCAGGAGCAACCCACGTGGAACACCGCCCAGCGAAGTGGGTCACCTCCCACCGCCCACCGAAGTGGGCCACCTCCCTGTGCGTTTCTTGGCGTATATAATATTATAAATATAAACATCCATGACTGGAGTACAAACATTCGTGCTCATCACACAAATGAATACCCCCAGCGGGATTCGAACCCGCGACCGCTAGCACAGCAAGTACAAACTGGTACAAACAAAAGGTCACTACAAACTGAGCCAAACGTGCCGTCCAATAAATAAATAAATACATGGTAATAAACAAAAGAATATCTGGTCTTAATGATGCCTTAATTATAAGCAACACTGCATTCTAATAAGACAACAACATAGTAACTTAATAATAATTGTTTACATTAATGAGCAAAAATAAAATTGAAATTAAAATTAAAATTTCCTTAATCGTTTAAGATACGGAAAATTTGATTTTACATTCATATATAAGGTATATTATATTATTCGTACCTGGATACGCAGCAGCTACCGCGACTAACGATAATGCAACAATCTGGAAACAATAAATAATAAAGATAATAAAATAAATAATAGTTATTATTATTTAGACTCGTATGTGACAAACATGCTTTTATTATTAATAAATAATAATTGAATGTTTGTATGTTTGTTCTCGATGTGTTCCTGAACCACTGATCGGATTGTGATGAAATTTTGTTGGGTTCTTATGTGTAGGTATGTCTGCATAGATTCCTGGTCCAAAACAACGTATGTTTATATTCTTAAATCATCCATCCCTAACGCACCCTTACAATAAATTAAAAATAGTTAAAATAACGAATTACTGTGCGTTCAAGCGATCAAAAACGGTTTGATATAATATTATGATGTATAGATGCAAACAGAAAAGAAATGTAATTGTGAAGATATTTCTTTTTAATAAGTCTATTATGTTTTTTTTAAATGTATGTAAAATATTCTAGCAAAGTACATTACATACTATTAATCTACCTATACATACATATAAAAAAATTATAACTAAGCCGAATCTGTACATTAAATATTTTTTGGTAAATCATATTGAAAGAAACATTAATATCGATACAGAGACCGAATCTATAGTTTGCTTTGCACTGCAAGGATTTTGATGAAATTTGGTATGGTGATAGCTGGTTATCCGGGTCGACATATAGGATACTTTTTACTGCGGGAAAATGTCTCATTTCTGAGAAAAAATACAGAAACTGCAATGTAAGAGTATAATAATATGTAAACCCTCAGAATTTGGTTTTTGGTCATCTGAACGCGGGCGGAGCCGCGGCCATTGCTAGTGTAATAATTAAATCATATTTCAAACAAATGAATAGCTTGATGACACAAGTACCTACTTTCTATTTTTGTTAGTTAAACAACTTAAAAACTAAGTCAAAGTATGCAAATTACTTATTTAATGGCTAAAAAATACTTTATAAAACATAAAAAAAAACTTATAAGCAATGCACTCCTAAACAATAACAATCCGCTATAATGATTTATAATTTTTTCAGTTTTCACATTGCTGGCCTAGCTTCTTAAATAGTGACGTTATGTAATTTCTGACCAATAACAAGTAGAATAAGGTGTTGAGAAGCTTTTCCAGCAACAAAAATTTGATTAGTGCGCATGCGTAAAATGCTAAAAATGACTGAAGTCACGTGACAATCTTCAATACAAAAGTATGAATGAAACACAATTTAGTATGAACACGGTAAGCTAAAATACAACGTCTTAACGTCGCATTTCTATAAAGAGACGCCTAAGCAATTTGGAGCGCAAATACATATAAATACTTATAATATTTTGTAGGCGTTATATTATTTTTTAAAATTGACGTAGTAATAATAAGTTGATTTTTTATTTACTAATTATTATGTGTATTATTAATATGGAATTATCAAAAATATAATATTTATAATGAATGATCTGTAAAAGGTAAGACGGTGGGAATCATCTTGTATAGTCAGTTCGCCACTGCTAGCAACTCAACCTCGCCTTGGACTCGACCCTAGGTACTATTTAACCGTTAGTATGGAATAGATACACTATATTTTAGTATACACATACATATTACATATATGACGACACGTTTTGCTCAGTGTGTAGTAACCCTACTTGCTATCCCAGTGGTTGCGGGTTCGAATCCCGCTGGGAGCAGTCATGGGTGTTTATATTTATAATATGTATGTATTTAAAGTTATTTATATTATTTATATCCATAGGTATTACGAGTTTTATATCCCTTACTTGAGAAATGATTGATTCCTCAAACAAAATTTCATCACCCATTTTCACCACCCTAATGAATGATTACCGGGATAAAAACTATCCTTATCTATCCTTCCCAGAGTCTCAAACTATCTTTATACCAAATTTCATCTAAATGGGTTCAGTCGAAACAAAAATACATTTTTTTAATGTTAGTATAGATTAATTGAAGTCTATATAATAATTTCTTACATTTACGCGAATATTTGACATCTATATAAATGAATCACCGAAATGTATGTATGTACGCACATAACTTCGAATCGATTGCACCAAATTGAATATTGTTTTTTTTTGTGTTTGTTATTGTCAGGAAGTTTTGTATAGAACAAAATTAAAAGAAACATACTAAAACTAGTTTTTTTTTAATCTTATGATATGAAAAGTGAACGAGTGAGTGAAATATTTTTTTATCTCGGAAATCATCCCTTAAGGGGTTGAGAATGGGGATGAAAGTTTGTAGAAAAGCAAGCCAGGGATGAATCCGAGCGAAGCGAGGGTGAGTCGCTAGTTTTAAACAAAACTATCTTTTCGGATAATTTCGCGGATTTATTTTGATTTTTGATTCCAAATCAATCATGGTCACGGGAGAGTATAAGGTTTTAGACATCTCAAAGGCGTTACATTATTATGTACTTGTTACAGACAGTGCCTACCCACAATTTTACAAAAATGATATCAAAAATTTAAAAATGGCATCATTTTTTTAGTAAGTATTATTATTAAATCAGTAATATTATTTATTTAATTCTAGCTGTTATTATTATAAATATTACATTTTTGTAAACTTAATTAATAATATTATATAGTGTTGCTATTACTATAATATGTATAACTATCAGTGATACTACCATCATCGTGGGATCTTGTAATAAACATAATAAAATGTAACAACAAAAATATAACAGACCATTATATGTAGTTAGTTCATACTGCGTGGATCGCAATAGCAGTAATTCAAATTTATATATATTTTTATCTGTAAAGATAGCAATAGTGTTGCTTAATTTTTAAATCGATACTAATATTATAAATGTGAAAGTTTGTTTGTTTGTTTGTCTTTCTTTCACGTCAAAATCCAGTGACGGATAGGCGTGATTTTTTGTGTGGAAATAGTTGGAGGACTGGAGAGTGACATAGGTTACTTTTAACCACTTAGAGATTATCTAATTCCCACGGGAAAACACGTTATAAAATAACCCAAAAAATATTAATGTTCAGAATTACTTGAAACTTGATATGAATGCTCTTCAATACTATTAAATAAATACATGTTTTAGCATTTTTCAAAATTTATCCCATAAGAGAGTCAAATAGGGGATGAAAGTTTGTATTAGACCTACCTTTTTAGAGTTTTTTATTCGTAGTTTTAGCGCGAACGAAGCCACGGGTTTTGTAAGTTACATATAAAACAACTATAATTTTTAAATTACATATAAAACAATAATATTGCTTAAATAAATAAATAAATATTTTTTTAAAATTTTAATTTTCTTTGGGGTTATAGATAATATTATATAGTAATAGCAACACTAAATAATATTATTAATTAATAAAGTAAAAAAAATGTAATATTTATAATAATAACAGCTAAAATTAAATGAATAATATTACTGTATTAAATTATAATAATTATTAAAAAAAAATAATATTCAGAATTAAAGTCAACAAATATAGTAAGGTACTCGGTTTCTTTTACTTTTTGAATTTGTGAAATCATTTTTGAAAAATTGTGGGTAAGCACCGTCTGTAACAAGTATATAACGCCTATGAGATATCGAAAACTTTAGTCTCGAAAACCTAAGCATTCGAAACGTCGGGAACCAGAAATTAAAATAAATCCGCGAAATAATCCGAAAAGATAGTTTTACTTAAAACTACATACGTACGTACGGTACATTTTAAATAGATATAAATAGTTATAAGCTAGCGTTAGCCATATAAATTTTAATTTTTTTTCGTTAATTTTTCATTTTTTCTCTTTATTAAAACTTTCCGTGGACCTTAAGGAAGTAGAAGAAGAAGAAGAAGGAGAGTTTCGGATACACATAGAAGTGTCTTTAAAATAAAGTAAATGTTTCCAAGCAATTCTTTATGGAGCCCATATTACCGGACTAATATGAATTAATTAAAATCTGCATCGTGTATTATGTCTGACTTAACTGCCTCACTGGTCTAGTACGGCTGCAGATTCGAAGGTACTGGGTTTGAGTCACGTGTCGGACCAAGTTACTAATTACCGTAATTACTGAGTCGTTCTGTCAATAAATTCTCAGTACTAATTGCTTTCCTTTACAAGAAAATTGCTTAGTAAAATATTCATAAATGGTATTTTTGGTAGAATATATTTAGTTATCCGCTCAATCAGTTTAGCATTTGTAAAAAAACTTTGTTTTTCTATACAATAATATGAAAGATCAACTTATTCTTGTATTGATAAGAAAATAAATAAGTAAAAAAAACACATTGCTTGTTAATATGGAACCCTTGATATGCGAGTCGGACTCACACTTACTGAATTTTTATATTCAAAAATTTATAAACTTTTACATTATTTACTACATGATAGCAAAAATTTAGTATATTTTGTAACATTATTAACATATAAAGTCGAATAGTTTTTTTTGATCATTTGACGCGGGCAGAGCCGCGAGTAATGCTAGTAATTCTAATAAAATTATAAAAAGAAAAATCTTTGCATTACTATTATTTTTTGATTTTAAATAACGTATTATTAAAATACATGGTGATATCTATTGCTGGTTTTCTAAATGTCACATGACTAAATATTTGTGGTATTATTTTACGTATAAATTTACACTTATTAATATATTTTTTTGTCAAGGCATTATTTTGCTTAAATATTGACAGTTTCGGCGTAGTTTTATTCTAACCAGTTTTTGTATTTTTCCTCAGAAATTAAACTTTATTATTATTTAATTTTAGATTAGAAAATTATTTAATTTTATAAAAAATCATCTAGTGGTTTTCCTGTGAAAGTGAAGAAAGATAGACAGAGAAAAAATCTAAAAACTTTAGGTATGGTCTCGGTATAATTACTATTTTAATAAGATTTTCCAAAAAAGTATTTAACGTACAGATTTGAGTCAGTTACAATTTTATTATATGCATATGTAGAAGATTAATTAATTATTAACATGTTCCAAATGTACTTAATAGCTAGATTCCCTACTGCTTCGCTGCGAACGGCTGTAACAATGTTAGCCTATATTTGTCCTTGATAAACACGCCTTGACCTGTAATATATTTCTTTATTCAAGCAATCCCATTAATTTCATAAATGCGTAAGTTTGGATGGATGTTTGTTATTGAATCACGCCAGAACGGCTGAGCGGATCTGGACGTTTGGCACAGAGATAAATTAGAGTCTGGAATAGCATATAGGTTACTTTTTATCCCGGAAAAATGTACAGTTCCCGTGGGAGCGTTTTTGTTAATCACAGAGTTTTTCTATTTCACACTAACCGTTAAAATATTTTTAAGTAAAATGAGAAAGAAAATTACAAATATACTTAATTATACATAAAAAACAAATGTACACTTAGTTATTACTGTACAAGTCATGTCCGCGTGGAATAGTGGCAAGAATGCTAGCCGCATTCCCCCGTTGAATGGCAATGCCGATTCTTTGGGCGAAAAATGCGCCAGCCCTCCTGTCACCAGTAGAGGTGATAAGACGAGATGTTATGTCTTTTAAAAAGAGCTTAGCACTTTGGCTCCATGGGCCAAGGGATTCTACAGCAAATGGAATAAAAACATAATTTTGACTAAGGGAGGTGTATTTACGTAAATTTTAGTAAAATTAAATTTGTTATTGTTATATTTAAGTTTTAGTGTTAAGTTATATTAATATTTATTTTATTGTTATATAAATAAAATAATAAATTTACAACTTACCATAAACTTGACCATTTCGCAAGTTGTCTCTACGACTATCTCACAAACAATGCCAATTTTAACCCCTTCGCGTCTTATATATAAATTGATCAGACGCGCTCTCCTTCTGACCTCATAATACCCGATCTTCAAATTGTAAATAAAAAAGATCCAGTGAGACATTTAAAACTGGCATATTACTAAATGTCTAAATCTTCTGACAATTTTATAAAATTTAAATTGATTTTTATTATTATATATTTAAATTTATTCTCGTGATGTCGTCCTGACCGCTTTCGGCCACTTAGACCAATCTTACAGAGACTAGCCAACGTACTAGAACGCAAGAGATGTGTACGCGCAGACACAAGTGCACTCTCTATTCCTGTTACTCTCAAATTCCAATTTCCAATGGGATGATAATTCGACCGGTGAGAAACTCGGCTCAGGATCGACGATCGACGCCCTCTCCGAGGCATGGGGGTGAAGAACCGCCAATTTCCCAACTGTTACTGAGTCTTGCATGCTCATGCTTTATGTTTGTGTGTACTTTTAATTAGTTTAAACGTTTTTGAATTAACCATTGGATGTAAAAGAAGTAGCAAGCTGACCAACTGCCGAAGGAATCTATCACCCACCATGTATTTATATATATATATATATATATATATATATATATATAGATATATGTATATATATAGACATGTATATCGTAAGTAATACAGGTCACTTTAATTATGATTTTATAATTTTTAGTGCGTGATAAAAACGTGTTTTTTTAGTTTTCTAGAACTGAACTACATATTTTTATTTCTAGATAACATATCTCATACGATTATTATTTATTATCGTTCATTAGGAGACGAGGTCAATAACTTGGCTAAGGATACAGTAGTTAGAGTCATCCCAGTTATTTATAGTTCTATCTGAAAATTAAATATCATAATATAAAAATAAATAAACCGCTAATAATTTACGGTGCAAGTATTTCTCCATATAAGTATTGTACGTGGTGTACATTAGGTACTCTTTGATTACAGGTACATATAAATATCATGAGAAAATAGCGCGTACATATTTTTTTATTTAAGTCGTATTTTATGCAAATAAAAGTAATACAAAATTTAGTTTAAGGTCTTGGTCTGGTACTTCAAACACTATTCCCAAGCTTGTCTATTGCTTGTATAATAAAATATCTTAACACTGACGGTAATATTAAATGACAAAAAAAGTAATCCAATAAATGCTCCAAAGTAAAAAAATCTAGGAAAAGTATTGATAGTATTATAAAGGACTGATTATAATCGCACTCACTTGAACTTGACAGAACTAGAAAAGTTCTCGTTTAACGAAACCTTATTATTAAGCCTCCGGTGTCCGTCCGTCCGTGTTTCAGAGGGCTTTGTATCTCATAAACCGTAATAGATAGAGAGTCATAGATTACCATGTATACCATGCCACTATAACAACAAATAATAAAAAAACAAAAATAAGAGAAACTTTTTTTTAACGTTCGAAATCAATCGTCGAAGTTTATTATACTGCATAGACTAAAAGTTATATTAATAAAAAGTACATGTACGATGGTAGAAAACCCTTCGTGTGTTAATTCGACTCGCACTTGACCGATTTTTTTATTTGTAACCTTTTCTCGTACGAGCAAAAAAATAGGTTTTGACTTGATTTATTTAGGTACGCACTTAAAAATATATGTATGTATGTTCAAATATATTTTAATAAAAAGATAAGGATGCTGAAATGATAAGAATATGTTGACATATTATATTAGATTTTATTTTAATTTTAAAACATTATACATATTATCTAAACGTGGAACCATGTTTTGTTGCTAATATCAATTATATATTATTTTATCTTTTATTTATTTTAATCTATATTTTTTGTGTCCTCCAAAACTTATTGTCTCGTATTTACAAATATCTACATCTTATGTTTGTATTTTAAGAGTTATAACAATACCAAGAGTTGTCGGCTATATACATAATATTTATTTATATCATAAAAGATAAATGATTGTATCTGTGTTCTTGCTTAGTTTTTCTTTAGATTCTGCCTGTAATTAGATTATTATGGGCCTTGAAATTTAGATTCTTATATATGACTAGCATTTCCCGCGGCTCCGCCCGCGTTTAGATGACCGAAAACCAAATTCTTAGG